CCGCCGCCATGTCTTCCCTTCGCGGAGGGCCTTGGCGCGCTGCGCGATCCACGCGAAAGGGGAGGAGGTTTTGGCGGAAGCGGAGCCGGAGGAGGAGCGGGAGGCGGAAGCGGAGGAGGAGGTGGATTCTGCGAGGGCGGACATCTTTCCGCGGATGTCAGGGCCCTTTTTGCGCCGCGGGCGGCTCATACCCGACCCCATGGTTACCGCGCTTGCCGGCGCAGGCTCCTGCTGTAGGAAACCGTACGCGGAGAAAGCGGCGGGAGATGCGTGGAGCTGGCGTAAGTGGACCGAAGCCCGAAGTACGGAGGTGCTACTTTTGCAGAGAAGGAGGCGGCATGAAAATCGATGTTAGGATCTCGGAGGCAGCACTAGTAGACACGACGTTGGGATCTCGGAGCCTGATTTAATTAAGATGTGAAGTGAGATGAGGTTCCCACGATGAGAGACTACTGGCTGGATGAAAGCACTGCTATTAGGGTGGCTGCCTTCGCTTCCATGCCTGCTTTCATCCCAGCGGCTTGCAGGTTCTAACGGAAGGGTTCTAATAAAATGGTACCGAATGCCGGATGACAAACGAACTCATAGGGAAAGAGTAGAAGTGTTGTGCTTCATGTCGATTCAAGAACCTGTCTGAACGACGGATGACCAACTAACTCGACGGGTAGTTGCGAGCTCCGCAGCGGGAATTCGGCAGCGGAAATTCGGCGGCTAGAATTCGGCAGCGAGTATGACAGGGCAAAGCACGAATTCGACGCGGTGTTGTGAGCACAGTGTGAGGGGAAAGGAGGAAAGCTGCGCGTGCGGAGGGTGCGGAAAGAGCAGCGATCGCACAACACCGCGTTGCAGCGACGCGGTGTTGTGAGTGCGCGTTGAGAGCTGCATGCACCCAAGCAAACTAAGCGCGGCGGGTTGCGGAGGAATAGGCGACGAAAGTGCGGACCTTGCATTAAGCCGTGGATTAGGCCCCCGTGCGGTGTGCATAACATTAACCGTTGGCATTGGCGGCGTTTCGCCCCCAGCATGAGATTAACCGCGTTGAAACGGGAGAGGGCATCCCCCAAAGGCGCCGGGGTGTTGGAAACGAAGTGGTGGGATGGGATGCGATGGGATGGGATGAGATCAGGACAGACTGCCTCGCTGGAGAGGGGGCTGTGCTTCGCTTTTGCGCTGTGACGCAGGCACGAATCTAAACAGAGGGAGACCAGGCCAGACCATTATCCTCTGGGTTTCTCTGTCAACGGGTAAGTAAGGTGCCTAATTTTCGTCCAGGAGGACTCCCTCATTTCCATGAAGGCATGGTTGCAGTCTAGTTTGGGATCGTGAATGTGTGGATTGCGGGCACCATGCGGCTCGCTCTGGCACACACACTGTACACACGTCGACGGCCAGCAGGCAAGAGAGACGCGGGTGAAGCGGAAGTCTCTGCAGAGCAGCTGCGGGCGGTATGCGCTCGTATGTGGGTGAAGGGAGTATTGTACTGTGACGTGGAGATTCTTTGCTGTGGAACGCAGAGGAGAGGAGAGAACCTGCTGGAGTGGGGCGAGGGCGAAGGAATTTGGAAGGGGGTCTTTGTGACGGGGGAAGAGGGAAATCTGTTTTGGGAGAAAATGGTGCCAAAATGTCGGTAGCGATTCGGTTTCCGGTTGGTTACCCTACTCTCGGGTTGGCGGCGCGTGAATGCCTAGTTTGGGGACGGCGCCAAGTGGGGATGATTTATTTCCCACCACGAGCGAAGCAACGGCTCCAGCGAAATGCTTGACGAAAAGCTTGGAAATGACTGAGCGAGAACGCTCCCAGGTTACGATCCGATATACGATAAAGCATGCTTCTTTACACTTGTCAGTTAATGATAAATAGCAAGCCCACAGTGTTCCAGTTCTGTTCGCTCGCCCCCACCGAATCCACTCACCGTTCGCAACGGTCGCAAGCGTTCGCCGGCAGGTGGCAGTTGACTGAATGGTTACCGTTGACAGCTGTCGTCACACTTCTTCCTGCACACGGAAAATCAGAACATCCCTGATTCCCTTCCATTCGTTCTGCTGCGTAAGACAGGTAGCGCTTCGCATTTTGCTGCGGCGCGCTGAAATTGTTTCAGCGGCAAAGCAATTCTGCGCAACCATTCCTTTCCCACCACCCACCCGCGGTCTCTTGTCGTGGACCGTGCTCCGCTTTGTTGGTGTGTGTGTGTGTGAGGTCAGCTCCAGACAACGAAACTTTTGCTACCAGATGCAGAGCAGTGTTCCGCCTAGGCAACTGGTGGGTGTGTGAATTAGGGCACCGCGTGCGACCAGTACCCCCATCACAACCGCACCGCCGAAACATTCAACCCACCCAACAGCGCAAGAGAGGGAGAGAGAACCAAACCCAAGAACCCGAACCGTGCATCCCCCCCGGCAGCGAATATTCGCCGATGCACCCCTCAGCAGTCGAAACGCATCCGCGCAGTCGTATCCGCAACCGCGACCACATTCCGTTCGGAAGGCCCTAAGTCGCAGACCTGAGCCAGAACTAAAATACATATTCAGGACCATATGCATAAATGAATCTTCATATCCGACTGATGTCAACGACAGCTGATACCTTTTCCCAGAACGACATCCTACAGGTGTAGGCGTAGACGGAATTCACATGCCTAGGTTATCAACCGCGCACACCCTCCCCAGTGCTTGCCATTCAAAGCAAACTCTCAGGCAAATGCTCACAAGAGCGTAAATCCATTCCTTCCTACCTTAACCTTCCATCCGAAAGACCCTCTCCCTGGAACCCGCTCACAGGACCCCCCTCCGCATCCGCCGCTGACAGCTTCATACTCCAAACTCTGACCATGGGCGGCATCAATCTGTCGTCATTCGACTTCAGCTCGCGCCGCCGAGGCCCCGATATTCGCGGTAAACTTTCCGCGCTTGGGGAATCCGGCCCTGCGCTTGATCTCTCTCCAGGAACCAGTAAGCACGGCAGCGGGAGCGGTGACAAGGGGCCTCAGTTACTAAGATGGATGCCGCGGTCAATCAGCCTCACGGCTGTGAATAGCGCCGGTTCAGGGTTGTTTTCGCCAACTGACTTCGCCAAATCTCGCAAAAAGGAGGAATCGCTTCTCGGGAACGCCGAGGAGGAGGAGTGGGGAATTTTCGGCGTGGATTCGTCGGACGATCTGAACGAATTTGCGAACCGCGGCGGGGTAGCATCGTCTTGGGATTTTGAAGCCCCCACAAAGTCGCGGAGTTTGTCGCTGCGAAGTTTGGCGACTTTTAACCTCTCGTTCGTCAAGCAGCCCAGCCTCAAGAAAACTCTTTCGTCAATTTCGCTCGAATCAGAAAACGAAGACTCTGGCGCGTATGATTTAAGCCCTGTACATGATCGAACGCTACCCAATCACTTCAGTGGCGACTTCAATATGAATGATGCTCGGAACGGCGGCAGGAACACATTGGTTTCATCGTCAACGTCATCTTCCTTCGTCTCGAAATCGCAAGACATTCTGTGCAACGCGGAATTCGAATGCGCGTCGCAGACCGCCAGCAGCAGCGAGTGCGGCTCGGTAGTGGGCGACAGCGACTCCAGTGATTGGTCGAACGACAACCATGATGACGTGGCCCGGTCAGATTGGAAGGAGTGGGACGCAGAGGAACGAACCTCGAAGGTTCCCGACGAGAAAAAAGAAGAGAAGCGGATCGCGTTTGTTCGCGAATTTTTTCCCGCCAACAGAGCCGGGCATATCCGGCGGTTCCTCTTAAAGCGTTTCGGCGGGAGTCGTCGGGAGAAGATGCACGTGTGGGCGTAGACGAGTCGAGTCGCCCCGAGTCCTGCTTAGGCGTTGGCGATTCATAGCATGCCAGTTCGGTAGTGTCACGTTTGGCGTGGGTGTCACAGTGTTGCGCGTGTACGGCATACAGGCAGAAAGGGGCAGCACTCGAACCGCATGCGGTGCGGTTCCGAGCATTCTATTGGCCGCGCAGCTATCGACGCGTTCCCAGACAGAAGTAGCAGCGTAGTAGTAGGAGGACGGCAGCATCAGCAACCGCAGGAACAGATTCCTTAGACGTCTCAATAAAAGCAGCAACAAGAGCAGCAGCAGCAGCAGCAGCTCGTACAGTTGCTGCAAGCTTACGAGCCGCAAGAATGGGAGACCTAGTAGATAAGGGGGCGGAAGCCACCTTGGGAAAAGATACTCCCACACACATACATACAGATTCAAGCAAGCCAGCTACAAACCTCTCTCCCCTCCAAAACTCCCTCCCCTCTCATTTCTCCCTCTTATCACACTACCTTTGCCCCTTATATATGCAGCAGATAGCTGCAATGTTGGTTTGCCTCTTATCCAGCTTTAGACAAACACCTCGCTGTCTGTGAGTCTATTGTTAGTAGTGTGCCTGGTAAGCCGCTTTGCCTGAAGTGAATTATGCTCTCAGTGAGGCACCCATATTTGCAGTGGGAAGCGCCCAAGTGTAGGCCGCCACTAGCTAGAGCAAATCTTATCATGAAAGTCTATCCCAATAACGTTGAAATAAATAGGTGTTGATGCAAGCATACAGAGGGAGAGGTGCATGCACAGTTTTCTGACATTTTGCTAAAGAGTACTGTGTGGGAGACCTTATTTGTCAAATTTGAAAAATGTCAAATTCCTGCCAACTGTAAATACGTCCCAACGATGAACGCGAGCAACTGCTGTTTATACATCCGACCAGACTGTATCGAGGATGATAGGGCTCCTCTGAGCAGGTTTGTGCCAACCAGAATCACAGGGAACCCTGGGATTGATGGGCAGACAGTTTATGCGAATTTCCCTTCGCTAAAGCCGTTGATTCAGGGTTCTGGGGAGCTCAGGGTTTAGGCTAAGTCAGTTTGTCGGAACACGCTGTGTTTCCCACACCAGGAATCGCATTGTTAGACATAACAATATCGAGCCGTCGATTCGTCAACCGTTGCCCGATCTCTCCGTTCCGTCGTCCGATCCTGCCGTGCTTGCCGCAGCCTCTTTATTCGAGCATTCGTTCACCATGGCGCCCCGATTGGAGGGCGCCACGTCCTCCGCATCGCAATCCGTAGGCGGCCAATCGCAGAAGCATCAGCAGCTGACGCGCCTCATCCCGAAAAAAACATACAAGCCGCTGCTAAGCCTTGAGGTCTTTTACACAGGCGGCCACGTGGCAGTCTTTCCGGATGGACGCCACGTGGCATGTCCTTGCGCTGACGTGGTAAAGGTCGTCGATCTCACCACGGGGAAGGTCGTGCGGACGTTGGAGGGCGACGGAGAGCCAATCACAGCCGTCGCCGCGAGTCCAGATGGCGTGTCCGTATTGGCCAGCTCGCGCAGCCTGCAGACGCGCTGGTGGAACTGGCGCACGGGGGAGTGCAAGCGGTCGTGGAAGGTGAGGGGGGTGGGGGGGGGGTTGGGGGGAGTGGAGTGGGGGAGGAAAGGCGGGGAGAACGGGGGGGAGAGGGGAGAGGCGGCGCACGGGGGAGTGCAAGCGCGGTCGTGAATGGTGATGGGGGTGGGGGAACGGGGAATGGGGGATGGGAGGCAGAATGGCGGGCGGGGGAATGGGGGATGGGGAACGGGGAAATGGGGGACGGGGGAGAGGCAGCGCAGCCCGCAGACGCGCTGGTGGAACTGGCGCACGGAGGAGTGCAAGCGGTCGTGGAAAATGAGGGGACGGGGGTTTGGAGGGGAGGGGAAGGCGGGAGGATAAGGGCCGAGAAGGGGGGGGAGAGAAGGCGGAAGGTGGAGGGGGAGGGGGAGAGGCTGCGCACAGGGGAGCGCAAACGGTCGTGGAGGGAGGGGGGAGGGTGGGGAGATGTTTTGGGAGGAAAGGGGGCGGAAGGGAGAAGGGGAAAGGCGAAGGGAGGAGGGGAATGGGAAGAGGCGGCGCACGGACGGGGGGAGTGCAAGCGGTAGTGGAGGGAGGGGTCGTAAGAGAGGAGGGGGCGGAAGGTGGAGGGAAGGGAATGGGCGGAGGGACGAGAGGAAGGGTTGAGGATAGGGGGGAGAAGCAGGCGGCGTTCGGAGGAGTGCAAGCGGTCGTGGAAGATGAGGCGGAGGGGAAAGATTGGTGACTTTTGAGTCGACTCAAAAGGCGGCGTTCAAGGGAGTGCAAGCGGTCGTGGAAGATGAGGCGGAGGGGAAAGATTGGTGGGGATGGGATGGGAGGGGAAGAGGGGAAGTGGAAGGGGAAATTGGGGGAGGGAGGAGAAGCAGCGCGTGGGAGAGTGCAATTAGGTCGTGGAAGTTGAGGCATGGAATGGCCGCGCAGGCTGGTCTTCCATCGCTCTTCTTCCGAACCCTTCCGAACCCATCAAAACCTTTCAAAATATTTTTTCTTGGACCCCCTCCCCATCCTCAGCCCCCCTCCCCCCCACCCCCCCCTCCCAACCACTCCGGCCCCCCGCCTTGCCACACGCCCGCCGCCTCCAATCTCTTACCCAGGCGCACCTTTTGAGAATTCTCAAAAGTAAACTCATCATACCCAGGCCAGGCGCACCTTTTGAGAATTCTCGAAAGTAAACTCAACATACCCAGGCACACCCCGCGCCAGTGTGAAGCCTGGCGGTAGACGCCAGTGTCTGTCAGGGCTGCTGCTGGGGATAGGGGGGGCGGACAGGGGCGTGTTTTGAAACGTCTCAAAACACTGCTGCTGGCGATTGTGGGGGCGGACAGGGGCGTGTGCGTGCGTGTGGGACCACCACCCATAGGCTAATCCTCGTTTCCCCTCCTTTCCTTGCTCCCTTGCTCCCTCTCTCTCTTCCAACTCCCTTCCCCATTCCCCCTCCCTCCCTATTCCGCCCAGGCGCACCCCGCGCCAGTGTCGTGCCTGGCGATAGACACGAGCGGGGGACTGCTGGCGACAGGGGGGGCGGACAGGGGCGTGCGCGTGTGGGACCTAGAGGCGAATGCATGCACGCACTCGTTCACGGGCATGGGAGGGGTGCTGTCGCAAGTGGCCTTTCACCCCGACCCGAATCAGCTGCTGGTGAGTGTGTTGCAGGCAAGTGAAAGAAAGCAGTCAGGTAGCTGGGCAGGGAGACGGATAGGGAGGGGGGGGGCGGACAGGGGCGTGCGCGTGTGGGACCTTGAGGCCAATGCATGCACGCACTCGTTCACGGGCATGGGAGGGGTGCTGTCGCAAGTAGCTTTTCACCCCGACCCAAACCAGCTGCTGGTGAGTATCAAGTCGACATCCCCAGGTGCGTGTGTGGTCGCTGCCGCATGAAAGCACACATGCAGATGGGCAGGCAGGCTGACAAAGGGGGGCGTGCGCATGTGGGACCTGACCTGAAGGCGAATGCATGCACGCACTCGTTCACGGGCATGGGAGGCGTGCTGGGTCGCAACGCATGTGGCGTTCCATCCCGACCCGAACCAGCTCTTGGTGACAAGCTTTTGAGAATTCTCAGCAGCAACAAACTGAAGCTCTTGGTTGTGTTGGGCGGACACCTCTTGGTGAGTGCTGCTGCGGGGCGGTCACTTCTTGGGTGAATGCTTCAGTTTGTTGCTTCTGAGAATTCTCCAAAGCTTGTCATGCGTTTTTTTTTTCTAAGGAACGGGTTTAGTGGCGCCTCAAAACTCGTTTCACAATCTCTCTCCTGCCATCCCACCTCCTCTCCGCCCTCCCCCCCTCTTCCCCCAAACAGCTGGTGAGATCCGCATCAGAGAGCCGGCTAGTGAGATCTGGTGACCAAGCGCCCAGCAGCCTCTTCATGTTCCCCACAATCCATTCACCACCCTCTCAACACCCCCCCGTTCTCTCTCACTCCCTATCAGCTTGTGGGCGCGTCAGAGAGCGGGCTGGTGCGGGTGTGGGACCTGGTGACCAAGCGCCCAGCAGCCTCTCTGGATAAGCATTTCTCCACAGTCACTGCTATCGCCTTCTCACCGTCGGGATGGCTGCTGCTCACTGCTAGTCGTGACAAGGTCAGTCAAGTCAACCAGCCAACACCTTTTCTCCCAGCATCGCCTCACTGCACAAGCACTTCTCTACAGTCACCTTCCATCGCCTTCTTGCCCTCTGGATGGCTGCTGCTCACTGCTTCCCGTGATAAGGTCAGCCAGTCATTATCCCCCCACTCCCCCTCCTAGCCTCGCCTCCCCCCACTAGCCTCACCTCTCTAAACAAGCACTCTCCACAGTCACTGCCATCTCCTTCTCGCCCTCGGGCCGGCTTCTTCTTACTGCATCACTTGATAAGGTCAGTCAACTAACCAACCCCTTTCCCTCTAGCCTCGCCTCTTTGGACAAGCAAAGCATTTCTCCAGAGTCACTGCCATCGCATTCTCGCCCTCTGCCATATGAGACGTCTCAAAAGTCCTCTTTGGACAAGCAAGGCATTTCTCCACAGTCACTGCAGGAGCACCACTTTGTGAGTTGAGCTCAAAGCGTTTCTCCACAGTCACTGCAGGAGCACCACTTTGTGAGTTGAGCGCAAAGCATTTCTCCACAGTCACTGCCATCGCATTCTCGCCCTCTGCCTGGCTGCTGGTCACTGCCAGTCGTGACAAGGCGCGGAGCGAGCGGAGCGGAGTGGAGTGATTGAATTGGATTGGATCCCTGTGGGTTCCTCTTTTCCCTCTACCTGTGCATGCCTATCAGGCTATCACTGTGAAGCTCTTTATTGGGCTGACTGTGGGGGAGGAGCAGACGCTTCTCATCCTCTGCTACTCCTCCCCTTCTCATCTGCTGATTGGGTGGACGCTTCTAATCCACTGCCGCCACCCCTCCCCTTTTTGAGGCACCTCAAAACCGAGACGATTTCTGAGGTGCCTCCAAAAGGCGCCTCAACAGACGCTTCTCATCCTCTGCCACCCCACCCCCCCTTTTTTTTTGTCGACTCAGAAATCCTCTCGACTCCATTTTTTCCTTCTCGTCTCCGTTCACACCCCCCTGTCCCCTTCGTGCTCCCCTTGTATGAAGAAGGGTTTCGAGACGTCTCAAAACCCTTTTTCCCTCCCGTCTCCGTTTACACCCCCCCGTCCCCTTCGTGCTCCCCCTCCCCCCCCACTTCTTTCATCAGGTGGTAAACATATGGGATATTCGCACCTATGCCCACGTCACCACCATCCCCGTTTTTGAGTCCCTCGAAGGCCTCGCTATAGTCACACCCCCTATAGCCCCAGAATTTCCTGCCATTCCCCCCACTGCTGCTGCTGCTGCTGCTGCTGCTGCTGGGGGGGAAGCAGAGGGGGGGAAGGGGGAGAAGGGAGAGAAGGGGAGGAAGGGGGAGAAGGGGAAGAAGAGTAGGGAGGAGATGGGGGAACGAGAGGTGGTGTGGTTTGTGAGTGTGGGCGAGAGGGGTGTGATGCGGTTGTGGCGGTCAGACAAGTCAACGGCGGTCTTGGAGCAACGGGCAGCTGAGGTGGCAGGCGGGCAGCAGAAAACAGGCACGGAGGCCAATGACGAAGCGCCAGCTGGCGGTGGGTTTTTGTCTGCGCAGTTTCTGGGCTTGGATGGAGGAAGGGGAGTAGGGGGAGGAAAGGGAGGATGCAGGTTATTGTGTACCACTGCAGATCAACGGCTGTTAATATACCAGCCTGTCAACGTGATTGTAACGAAACAGCAGCAGCAGCAGCAGCTGCAGCAGCAGTTTCTTGCCATGTGTCAGCAGCTGATTGGGCAGAACGACGAGATCGTGGACGTGCGATTCGTCCTTGACCCCTCCTCTTCATTTCTGGATGCAGTGGGAGAGGGAGATGAAGGGGAAGAGACTGAGAGAGAAGGTGGGGGAAGGGAGGTAGAGGAGGGGGAGGAGGAGGGAGAGGACGGAGCTGAGGGGATAAGGAAGGCGTTGAGAGGGGTGGAGAGGAATCTGCAGCTGGCGGTGGCAACCAATAGCGAGCAAGTGCGCGTGTACGACGTGGCGACCGCCAGCTGTCGCCGTTCCCTGATTGGCCACTCGGACATCGTGCTGTGCATCGACGCTTACCCCCACCCCTGCTCCGTGCCTCGTGCCCTTCTTGGCCCTCCTGCTGCTCCTGCTGCTGCTGCTGCTGCTGCTGCTGCTGCTGCTGCTGCTGCTGATGGCGCTACTGCTAGTGCTGATGGTGATGGTAAAGGTGGTTCTTCCGATTCGGTTCCAGTTTCTCTGCTCGCCTCGTCTGCTAAAGATCACTCTGTAAGCATCTCGCTCGACCCCTCACCTGTCCCCCGAGTTGACTTTTGAGTTGACTCAAAAGTCAAAGATCACTCTGTAAGCATCTCGCTCGACCCCTCACCTGTCCCCCGAGTTGACTTTTGAGTCGACTCAAAAGTCAAAGATCACTCTGTAAGCATCTCGCTCGACCCCTCACCTGTCCCCCGAGTTGACTTTTGAGTCAACTCAAAAGTCAAAGATCACTCTGTAAGCATCTCGCTCGACCCCTCACCTGTCCCCCGAGTTGACTTTTGAGTCGACTCAAAAGTCAAAGATCACTCTGTAAGCATCTCGCTCGACCCCTCACCTGTCCCCCGAGTTGACTTTTGAGTCAACTCAAAAGTCAAAGATCACTCTGTAAGCATCTCGCTCGACCCCTCACCTGTCCCCCGAGTTGACTTTTGAGTCAACTCAAAAGTCAAAGATCACTCTGTAAGCATCTCGCTCGACCCCTCACCTGTCCCCCGAGTTGACTTTTGAGTCGACTCAAAAGTCAAAGATCACTCTGTAAGCATCTCGCTCGACCCCTCACCTGTCCCCCGAGTTGACTTTTGAGTCAACTCAAAAGTCAAAGATCACTCTGTAAGCATCTCGCTCGACCCCTCACCTGTCCCCCGAGTTGACTTTTGAGTCGACTCAAAAGTCAAAGATCACTCTGTAAGCATCTCGCTCGACCCCTCACCTGTCCCCCGAGTTGACTTTTGAGTCAACTCAAAAGTCAAAGATCACTCTGTAAGCATCTCGCTCTACCCCTCACCTGTCCCCCGAGTTGACTTTTGAGTCAACTCAAAAGTCAAAGATCACTCTGTAAGCATCTCGCTCGACCCCTCACCTGTCCCTCATCCCACACCCCTCCTCGCACCCTTCTTATGCCCTGCCTCATTTTCTCTCCCCCCCCATCCCCGCCCACCCTTCCCCTCCCCATACCACCTCCGCCATACTCCCCTTGCCCTTCTTCCCGTCCTCCCAGCCAGCACACTTGCAGTGCGTTCGTGTTGTTATGCAAGTACACGCCTAAGGTCACATGCCACATGCCTTCCCATTTATCCTCCCCCCACCTGCCTTCTTCATCCCACCCATCCCTTCCCCCCCATCCCATCCCACCCATCCCATCCCACCCATCCCTTCCCACTCACATCCCTTCCCACCTATCCCTTCCCACCCATCCCTTCCGACCCATCCCTGCCCACCCATTCCTGGCCAATCAGGTGCGAATTTGGGACGTCACTACTGGCACCTGTTTAGCAATGGGTTCAGGACACGTGGCAGCTGTTGCTGCCGTGGCGTTCTCTCAGAGGCCGCCGCCAGATCAGCCTGCAGGAGGCGGGAAAGGGGGAGGAGCCGGGCCCTTCTTGGTCTCTGGATCCAGGTACGTGGTGCATGTGGGAGCGAGCTGAATAGTGTATAATCAGACATTCTTCTTGGTCTCTTCTTGGTCCCTTCTTGGTCTCTTCTTGGTCTCTTCTTGGTCTCTTCTTGGTCTCTTCTTGGTCCCTTCTTGGTCTCTGGATCCAGGTATGTACACGTGGGAGACGAATAGTGTATGATCAGACATTCTTCTTGGTCTCTTCTTGGTCTCTTCTTGGTCTCTTCTTGGTCCCTTCTTGGTCTCTGGATCCAGGTACGCACACGTGTGAGTGAGCTGAATAGTGTACCGTGTGTGTGAAGTGAACAGTGTGCGCAGTGTTGCATGTGTGAACAATGTGAACGGTGTAGCGCGCCGTGTGTGAATGGTTGACATACCATACCATGCCTCAAAACTGCTTCCCCTCACTCTTATCCCCCTCTCCTCCCCAGCTATCATACTCTTAAATTATTCCTCTCCTGCTCCTCCTTCTCCTCAGCAGCAGCGCTTCCTCACATTTCGAGCCACCTCAAAAATCACGTTCCCCCACTGTCCATGCCCGCCCCACTTCCCTCGCACGCCCCTCTCCTCTCCACCCTAGCGACGTGATTGAAGAAATGGTTTGAGACGTCTCAAAACATTTCTTCAATCACGTGACTTCCCTCGCACACCCCTCTCCTCCTCAGCGACCGCATGCTCAAAGTTTGGCTGCCTGCCCGCGCTCCTCCTCTCCTCCTCCTCCTCCTCACCACCACTGCCTTGCGTTTCGAGCTGCCTCTCCCCCTCCCCCCCCTCTTCTCCCCTCCTCCCCCACCCCACCCCCCCCTCCCCCTCTACTCCCAGTGATCGCATACTCAAAGTCTGGCCGCTCGCTCTCCTCCTCTCCTCCTCAGCACCACCACCTCAAGTCGTGAGCTGCCTCAAGCTTAACCTTTACCCGTTGCCCCTTGTCCCAACCCTCTCCCTTCCCCCTCCCCCCGTCACAGTGATCGCACGCTTAAAGTCTGGCCGCTCGCGGCCCTCCTTTCCTCCTCAGCAGCAGCGCTGCCTCGTGGGAGGGGTGGTGTGCTTCGTCTCAAGTCAGGTGCCACAGTGGCAGCACACGACAAGGACATCAACGCTGTAGCTGTGGCTCCCAATGATGGCCTCGTGTGCTCCGGCTCCCAGGTAAATCCGAGTCACTTGCACAAGTAATTCATATCTATTCAAGTCAGGTGCCACAGTGGCAGCACACGACAAGGACATCAACTCTGTTGCGGTGGCTCCAAACGATGGCCTTGTGTGCTCCGGCTCCCAGGTAGATCATCTGAGCGCTTCAAGTCAAGTGATTCAAGGCAAGTCAAGCCAAGTCAAGTAAGGTGCCACAGTGGCAGCACATGCCACGGACATCAACGCGTGGTTGTGGCGCCCAACAATGCTCTCGTGTGCTCCGGCTCCCAGGTGGGTCTCAGGTGGTTCTCAGGTGATGTTGGGTGGGCCTCCGGTGATTTTCGAGGGGGGCCTCAGATGATTGTCAGGTGGGTGAAATGTGCTTTCCTCCTCCCCGCCCCTCCCCCTTGCTCCCCCCATCACCTTCTCCCTCCCCTACCAACAGGACCGCACGGCCAAGGTGTGGCGCCTGCCTGATTTGTCCCTCTCGGTCACACTAAGGGGCCACAAGCGTGGCGTGTGGTCTGTCGCCTTCTCCCCCGTGGACCGCTGTGTGCTCACGGCATCAGTCGATGTTCCTTCTGTTTCCCGCCTTGCTCTCTTCCCCCCCTACAGGACCGCACGGCCAAGGTGTGGCGTCTCCCCGACCTCTCGCTCTCCGTGACACTAAGAGGCCACAAGCGGGGCGTGTGGAGTGTCGCCTTCTCCCCCGTGGATCGCTGTGTGCTCACGGCTTCAGGCGACGCCACGTGCCGCATCTGGGCGCTGGCGGATGGCAGCTGCTTGCGCACGCTTCAAGGGCACGAGGCATCAGTACTGAAAGCCATCTTTGTTACTCGAGGCACACAGGTGTGTGCTGTGTTTGTGCTGTGCCGGTCTGTGTGCTGCACTTTTTATATGTGTGTGTGCTCACGGCATTGGGCGACGCCACGCGTCGCATCTGGGCGCTGGCAGACGGCAGCCGCTTGAGAACTCTTCAAGGCCACGAGGCATCGGTTCTCAAAGCCATCTTTGTCACCCGAGGCATGCAGGTAGGCCCTGGGTTAACTGTGCTGTGTGCTGCATTGGGTGTGTCTGCTCACTGTATCGGGGGAGGCCACGCGTCGCATCTGGGCGCTGGCAGACGGCAGCTGCTTGCGCACATTGCAGGGCCATGAGGCTTCAGTACTGAAAGCGAGGTACGCAGGTAGGCCCTATGTTGTGTGCTGCATTGGGTTTGTGTGCTCACAGCATCGGGTGACGCCACGTGCCGCATCTGGGCTCTGGCAGACGGCAGCTGCCTGCGCACACTGCAGGGGCACGAGGCGAGCGTGCTCAAGGCCTTATTCGTGACCCGAGGCACGCAGGGCAGGTATGTGGGCACTGGCTCTTCTGTGGACGTGTCATGTCGTGCGCTGTGTGGACTGGGATGGCCGCATCTGGGCACTGGCAGATGGCAGCTGCCTTTTGAGGCGCCTCAAAAGTCGCATCTGGGCTCTGGCAGATGGCAGCTGCCTTTTGAGGCGCCTCAAAAGTCGCATCTGGGCTCTGGCAGATGGCAGCTGCCTTTTGAGGCGCCTCAAAAGTCGCTTCTGGGCTCTGGCAGATGGCAGCTGCCTTTTGAGGCGCCTCAAAAGTCGCATCTGGGCTCTGGCAGATGGCAGCTGCCTGCGCACACTGCAGGGGCACGAGGCCTCGGTGCTTCAAGGCCATATTTGTCACCCGAGGCACGCAGGTAGGCGCTGTGCTTGTGTGCTGTGTCTGATGTTCCGCAACTCTCACTCCTCTCAACCCTCTTACTCTCTCTCTCTCTCTCTCTCTCTCTTTCTCTGACCCGCTCTGCCCCCTTGGCACATTTCGTTTCCCCTCTCTTCTCCTTGCCTGCTGCCCAAGGTGGTGTCAACGGGAGCGGACGGGCTGCTGAAGCTGTGGAGTGTGAAGGGCGGGGAGTGTGTGAACACGTTCGATAAGCATGAGGATAAGGTGGGATTGTGGAGAAGAGGGATAAAGAGAGGAGAAGGGAAGGGGTGGCGGGGAGGACTCAGTTTTACACGGGTTTCTCCATGCAGATTCAAAAGGGAAAGGGGGAAGCGGGAGGAGGGGAGAGAGGGGGGGGGGGGAGGAGGGAGGGAGGGAGGGGGGAGGTGTTGGAAAGTTGCCACATTGCACTGCATCCCATCGCGTTGGTACCATCACAATGAGAGTGCCCAGCGCCCATACTTGAGCTCACAGCAAATTCGTCATATTTTGCCCTTTATCTCTTTGTCATAAGTCAACCCTTTATCTCTTTGTCATAAGTCAACCCTTTATCGCCCACGTCTTCTCCCTCTTCCCCGCCTCTCCCCCCCGTATTGACTTTTGAGTCAATTCAAAAGTCAACCCTTAATCTCCCACGTCTTCTCCCCTTCTTCCCCCCCCCATATTCCTCTCACCCTCTTCGAATATGGGCGCTTGCAGTGAGCCCAGGGTCGGAGATGCTGGCGACACACCCACCCAGCCCCCTCATCTCCCCCCCTCCCTTCCCCAGTTTCTCCCCCCTCCCCCCATCTCCCCTTCTCCCTTCCCCAGTTTCTCCCCCCTCCCTTCCCCAGTTTCTCCCCCCTCCCCCCATCTCCCCGACCTCTCTCCGCCTCTCACAGATATGGGCGTTGGCAGTGAGCCCAGGGTCGGAGATGCTGGCGACAGGTGGCAGCGACTCAAAAGCCACCCGGCCTCTTCATCCCCCTCTCCCCCTCTCTTCCCCCCCCTCACCTCCACCTCTCTCTGCCGCCTGCAGATATGGGCGCTGGCAGTGAGCCCAGGATCGGAGATGCTGGCGACAGGTGGCAGCGACTCATTGGTGCACGTGTGGCAGGACTGCACGCAGCAGGAGCAGCAAGAGGCCGCCCTGGAGCAGGTGAGGGGTTGTGGTGCACTGCACTCTGTACTCGATATAAAGCACGTGATGGGTGTGTTGTGGTGCACTCTGTACTCGCTATAAAGCAGGTGAAAATCAAAGCAGGTGCAACCATGTAGTAGATCCGGAGAGCAGTTTTTAGTCGACTCAAAACTAGTCAAGTATCTTTGGGTAACCAGCAGCAATCTACTACAGAGCCACGGTGCCATCAGGTGATGGAGGTGGAGTGAGATAGCTCTATAAGGTGATGGCGGTTTGAGCCCTCCTGCCCAGCCTCCCTTCCCCTCCCCCCCCTTTCCTCTTACCTTCCCCCCCTTTCCTCATATCAGGTGATGGCGGTGCGAATCGATGTGAAGGCAATGCCGTTGCCATTGGCATTCTCTGCCCCCTCTTTGGAAGCGACCATTCTCCCTCCCCTTCCCCCTTCCTCCCTTACCCCTCTGCTCAACACCAAACAGGTCAAGGCAGTACAGCAGGAGCAGGCGATGCGCAACGCAGCTGTAGCGGAGGACTATGTGACGGCGCTACAGCTGGCGCTGCAGCTGCAGCGACCCACCACCATGGCAGCACTGCTCTCAGATCTCATGAAGTGAGCTGGGAATGTGTGGGAGTATATAGAAGTATATTGGGAAGTGGTTCAGTGTACTGAAACTGCTGTTGGGAAGTGGTTCAGTGTACTGAAACTGCTGTTGGGAAGTGGTTCAGTGTACTGAAACTGCTGTTGGGAAGTGGTTCAGTGTACTGAAACTGCTGTTGGGAAGTGGTTCAGCGTACTGAAACTGCTGTTGGGAAGTGGTTCAGTGTACTGAAACTGCTGTTGGGAATTCCCGACTGGGTGCTGCTCTCCGACCTCATCAAGTGAGTCTGCTGCCCTGTGTGGGTGACTCTGTGTGTGTGTGTGTGTGTGTGTGTGTGTGTGTGTGTGTGTGTGTGAGTGCGTGTGTGCGCGCACACGCACGCCACGCTGCAGCTGCAGCTGCAGCGACCCGCCACCATGGCCGCGCTGCTCTCCGGCCTCATGGAAGTGAGTTGGTTGGTGATGCACACATGGGTGAACTGTTTTTGTAGCTTGGCATATTGAACTGCTGTTGAGGCCTCTCGACTGCAGCTGCAGCGACCCACCACCATGGCCGCCAGCACTGCTCTCTGACCTCATCAAGTGAGTTTGCTGCTGTCCACGCTGTGTGACCCTCTGTATGTGTGACTCTGTGTGTGAGTGTGTGTGTGTCTCTGCACGCGCACGCCACGCTGCAGCTGCAGCGACCCGCCACCATGGCCACCACGCCAGCACTGCTCTCTGACCTCATCAAGTGAGTCCACTGCTTGATGTATGCACGTGAGGGGAACACTCTCCTTCATTCCCCTCACTCTCTCCCTTCCGCCTCTCCTCTTTCCCCTCTCCATTTTTCACTATCTCTCTCTTTCACCTCTCTCCCCATACCCTCTTGTCCCCTCCCCCACTACCCTCTTCCCTCGTGCTCCCCATGGCAGGAAGGAAGGTGCGGAGGAGAGGATAGGAGGGGCGGTGGCGGGGCTAGAACCCACACAGCTGCGGCAGCTGCTGCTGTACGCACGTGAATGGAACACCAACGCCAAGCTGTGCTTGTCGGCGCAACGCCTGCTGGCTGCAGTGTTGAAGCACCACCCCCCAGCAACGCTCATGCAGGTACGGGACTGGGTAGGACTGAATGAACAGAAGGAACAGCAGCTGCTGCTGCTGTATGCGCACGAGTGGAACACCAACACCAAGCTGAGCTGAGGCACCGCCCTCCATCAGCCCTCATGCAGGTAAGGGATAAGGTGAAGTGAAGGCAGTGAGCAGCTGGGGCATCTACTGCTGTATGCGCACGAGTGGAACACCAACACCAAGCTGTGCTTGTCCGCTCAGAGACTGCTGGCGGCTGTGCTGAAGCACCACCCTCCATCAGCTTTAATGCAGGTAGGGACTGGGAGAGGAGGAAGGGAGGACGGAAGGGAGGCTGGGGGCTTGAGGGGGATATAAGAGCAAAACCAATCAGAGGCAGCTGCTGCTGTATGCGCGCGAGTGGAACACCAATGCCAAGCTGTGTCCCTCTCGGCCCAGAGACTGCTTGCGGCTGTGTTGAGGCACCACACTCCCCCCTCGCTCATACCCCCCTGCTATTACATTTTTTCCCACCAATCCCCGACTGCCACGTCACGCAGATCCCAGGAATCGGGGAGATTCTGGACGGGCTGCAACCATACACGCAGCGCCACCTGGCGCGTCTCGAGCGCGTGTTGCGGAGCTCCTACCTTGTCGACTACACTCTCGCCGCCCTCACCATGCTACAGCCGACCGCTGACCTGGCGGTGCATGCTGACGTGGCGCTACAGCCGGGTGCTGAGCTGGCGCTGATGGACGGCAAAGCTGCCCTGGTGCTACAGGCCAAAGCTGCCGCCCAGGAGAGGCCTTCTGGTTTGGAAGTACTGAAGGAGAAGGTGAGGAGGGAGAGTGAGAGGGGGGAAAGAGGTGAGAGGGGGAGAGGGGAGGAGGGGAAGGGAGATGGGAGTGAGAAGGGAGGAGGGGAATATAGTGAGGTGGATGCTGCTATGAAGATGTGGAGGTATCTGGAGAGTAAGAGAGAGGAGGAATTGAAGGGGAAGGAGGGTAAGGGAGAGGGAGAGGAAGAGGAGAGGGAGGATGGGGAAGAGGAGTTGGAGGAAGGGGAAGAGGATTTGGAGGAAGGAGAGGAGGAAAGGGAAGATGGAGAGGAGAATGGGGAAGTAGAGGGGAGTGAGGAGGACGAGGAAGAAGGTGGGGAGGAGGAAGGAGAGGAGGCAGGGGAGGAAGAGTCAGAGGAAGAGATAGAAGAAGAGGAAGAGGAAGGAGAGGAAGGGGAAGAGGAAGGAGAGGAAGGGGAAGAGGAAGGAGAGGAAGGGGAAGAGGAAGGAGAGGAAGGGGAAGAGGAAGGAGAGGAAGGGGAAGAGGAAGGAGAGGAAGGGGAAGAGGAGGACGCAGGAGAAGAGGCTGAAGAAGAAGCAGAAGGGACAGGGGAGGAGGAAGAGAGCGAATCAGAGGAGGAGGAGGAAGAGGAGGAGGAGGAAGAGGAGGAGGAGCACCGTGGCAGGCAGGCAAGAGTCCAAGCCCTGGTGCACAAGGGAAAGAAAGGGGTTGAGAAGCAAATGAGCGCGGCACACAAAGGTCCGGCGGCACAGAAGCGTGTTTCCAAGAGCAAAGCACAGACAGCAGGACATGCTGTGCCTAGCAAGAAGCAGAGGATGAGATGATGTTGCGGTGACTTTTGAGGTGACTTTTGAGTCGACTCAAAAGTCGCGAAGCACAGTCAGCAGCAGCAGCACATGCTGTGCCGAGCAAGAAGCAGAGGATGAGATTATGTGCTTGCTGCTAGGGCTTCTCCCAAGGGTATTATCGAGGGAATCGTGGTTGTCGTGAATTGCTGATTGTACTACAATGGCTACCAGTTGTCCAGGTTTCCTCCCGTGGATCCCTTCTGTTAACAATAGCGCAAGGGTATTGGCTTGGCATACAAGTGTCCTGAGACAAGTTTCTTAAGCAGCAATCGAGTGGGTATGGACTCAGAGGGTTTCGGGCCCGTCTGAATGTCTGACAGACAACCCAAAACGCCCTGATTTCCTGCCACTGCCAGGAGAGGGGAATTAGAGTTGAATTATTCCAAAAGAAAGTACAACATCACCCAAGTGCCCTGCACAATAGTGATTAGCTGTGTATTCAACAGTACTCAGATATGCATGCACATGGGACTACAAAACCCCAAACCGTCAGGGCCACTACTAGAAAACTACTGCTGTATTGACTAAATCAGCCCAAGACTGCTTCACATGAGTTTTACACTGTTGATCCTAAGGCTCAAGCGTTTTCTCTCACCACAGCTTCCCTACTACGACAGAAATGAGTCTATTTTTTAGTCGACTCAAAAATAGACTACAGTACCTACCAGCCCTCATGCCACCTCCACCACATCGCCCTCCAACTCCTCCAAGAGCCTCTCTTTATCCGCCGCCCCCTCTCCTCGCCAATCCTAGACCGCATATGAGAGTCCTTCAACTACTCCAAAAACCGTTCCTCATGTCTCCATCAGATCATCCTCATCCTCCTCCACCTCCCCCTCCTCCGCCTACTCCCCACCAATCCTCAAATCCGAGAGCAGCTCTTCCAGCGGGATCTCCGGAACCTCCTCCCCATCCTCCCCATCCTCCCCATTCGCCTCAGTCCTCATGTCTCCATCAGATCATCCTCGTCATCCCCCACCTCTCCCTCCTCCTCCTCCTCCCCATCCGCCCCACCAATCCTCAAATCCGACAGCAGCTCTTCCAGCGGAATCTCCGGAACCTCCTCCCCATCCTCCTCCTCATCCTCCTCCCCAGCATCCACCATCTCATCCCCTCCTCTCGCTCCTCCTCCTGCCACCGGCGCCACATAAGCCGGGTCCCTGTAAACAGCAATCCGCGACCGCATATCCGCATCCTCCTCCAACTCCTCCAAAAACCTCTCTTTATCCGCCGCATCCCTCTCCTCGTCGATCCGTCCCTTCGCCCCACCACCTCCTCCTCGTTCTCCTCTCTCTGCTCCTCCTCCCCCGGCGCCCCCATCCACTTCCATGTCAAGCTGCTTCAGCTTCCACGCTCGCGGCTTGCCGCGCCGCTTCTTGCGCTTCTCCTCGTAGCTCTTGCGCACGAGGATCACGTCGGGGAGAGTGGCTCTGTTGCTGTACCTGCAGGGACAGGAGGAGGGGAGGAAGGAGGGGAGGGAGGAGGGGAGGGAGGAGAGCGGAGGGAGGGGGTGGGAGGGGTGGTGGTGGTAAGTTCACAGGGTCATCTCGCCTCCACCCCCGGCGCCCCCATCCACTTCCATGTCCAGCTGCTTCAGCTTCCATGCCCGCGGCTTGCCGCGCCGCTTCTTGCGCTGCTCCTCGTAGCTCTTGCGCACGAGGATCACGTCGGGGAGGGTCACTCTGTTGCTGTACCTGCACGGAGGAAGGGAGGGAAGAGAGGGAGGGGGAGGGAGAAAAGTGGGGAGAGAAATGAACAGTCACTTTTTTTTTTGGAGGGAGAAGCAAGGAAGGGGAGAGGAGGGGGAGGAGGGAGGATGAAAACCACCAGAACCTGACCAGCAGTGTCTCTCACGCTCACCTCGCCAAACCGTCGCTGTTGAGGTTGGCCCGGTGCAGGTCATACCCCTTCGCAAGCATAGTCCCCCGGGCACAGCAGGTGCCCCAGGTGTGTGCGTGCAGTGAACAACACAGCGTTCTTCCCGAAATCCGAAGCACCAGGAGCACCAGCAGGAGGAGGATGAAAGGCACACCAGCAGCACCACCACTGACTCACCTGGCCAGATCATCGCTGTTGAGGTTGGCCCCGTGCAGGTCATACCCCATCGCATAGTCCCCTGGCCTAAGCAAGCACCCCAGGTGCGTCCTGGCAGTGAACATCACATCGTTCTTCCCATCCATGCATGTGCACACCCCACCACCAACTAAAACCAGCAGCACCACCACTGACTCACCTGGCCAGATCATCGCTGTTGAGGTTGGCCCCGTGCAGGTCATACCCCATCGCATAGTCCCCTGGCCTAAGCAGATGCCCCAGGTGCGTGCGCGCGGTGAAAATCACATCATTTTTCCCAAAGTCCGCCACCCGAGCCACCTGCACGTCTGCCAGCACAAACTTCCCCAACGCCCCTACCCCCGCCTTGTGCGGCGCTCCCCCCACTCCCCCCACTCCCCCTCCCCCTCCCCCTCCCCCTCCGCCTCCGCCTCCGCCTCCGCCTCCCCCTCCGCCGCCCCATCCCCCACCGCCGCCCACTGTCTCAACATCAAGCACCACATATTCCACGAGCTGTCGCGAGGAGAGCAGGGGCTTAAAGCCATAGCGCCAGTACTGGTTCGAGTCGAGGTAGATAGCGTGCAGGGTGGAGGGGTCGAGCAGCTGGAGGGAGTTGGAGACGCGGATGCAGAGGACTAGAGGGTTGGCCGCCGTGCCACACGCGTTGGCGGCTTTCGGGGGGAGACAGATGAGATCTTCTTTGCAAACAGGACAAATCTCCACCGAGAAAGTGTACCTGCGGGGGGGAGGAAAGAGGGGAGAAGGGAGGGAGGTACACATGTGAGGAGGGCAAAACTGTCCCTTTTTGTACTCGCTAGAAGGCTCCATTGTACTCGCTCGAACAATCGCTTGTGATTATACTCACTATAAGCGTTCTCACCGCTCACTTGTAATTGTACTCACTAAAAGCCTTAGCACTCACTTTGTAGTTGCACTCACTATAAAGCTTCTTTTCAATCACTCGTAATTGTACGAAGCCGTGTGGATGCCGAGTGTTAACAGCTGCTCACGTCTACTCATACCCGTTATAAGCCTTCAGCAGTACTCACTTGTAGTTGTACGAAGCCGTGTGGATGTCATGAGACCCCAGCTGCACACTCCTACTTACAACCACTATGAACCTAGTTGTACTCGTTATTAGCCATCTCTTCACTCGCTTGTAGTTGAGCTGAGCTGCGTGCACTAGGTATAACACCCACGTGTACTCGTTATAGCGCACTCACTTGTAGTTGTAGTGGGCTGTGTGGATGTCACATGACACCAGCTGCTTGTCACTCTGGTGCTGAGCTGGGGGAGGGCCAGACTTTCAGGCTTGTACTCGCTATAATACCAACGTGTACTCGTTATAAGCCTTCTCACGACTCACTTGTAGTTGTACGAGGCCGTGTGGATGTCATGAGACACCAGCTGCTTGTCGCTGCGGTGCTGAGCTGGCACCACGGCTGACACAAAGTCAACAAACTTCTGCGCGTGCGAGCGGTTGGCGTAGTAAAAGTCAATGCCGTCGTGCACCTGAAATGGGATAGGGTGGATCAGAACCGAGTGTTGACTGGCGTTGACCACCACTGACTAATGTTGACTCCGCGCGTGCGAGCGGTTGGCGTAGTCGAAGTCCATGCCGTCCTGCACCTGGGAGGGAAGGGATAGGGGTAGGGGTAGGGGTTGACTAATACTGACTTTACGCGAGCGGTTAGCATAGTAAAAGTCAATGCCGTCGTGCACCTGGGAGGGGAGGCGAGGCGGGGGGGGGGGGGGGGGGGGGGGGGGGGGGGGGGGGGGGGGGGGGGGGGGGAGGGGGGGGAAGAGGGGGAGGGTCGGTTGGACAGAAGCGGGTGTTGACTGGCGTTTACTAATGTTGACTTACAGCGAGCGGTTAGCATAGTAGAAATCAATGCCGTCGTGCACCTGGGAGGGGGGAAAGGAGTGAATCAGAAGCACACATAGCGCGAGTCTTAGAAGGAATCCAATGGCAGTGCGAGCGTTACAACGATTCGTCCCTTCTCCACAATCATCCGTCCTTATCCGAAATCCTCGCCGGTGCTGAGTTGGCACTGATCTGGCAGGCACCACCATTGCTGATGAGGGAATTGACTTCCGATCCGATCGTCGCTATCCCTTCTCTTAAAGCCCCACCCACCTGTTAACAGTGTTGGCAAAGTCAGAAGAATTTTGAGTCGACTCAAAAGTCGTCTGACTTCCGATTGTCCCTATCCTTCCCATAAAGCCCCACCTGTTAACAGTGTTGGCAAAGCCAGAACGCCCACCTGTCGGATGGAAATAAGGGTTGATGGAAATAAGGCCTCCGCAGCCCACCTGTTCTCTTTCGACAGCCCCTAAAGCCCCACCTGCTAACAGTGTTGACAAAGTCAGAACGAACGCCCACCTGGCGGATGTTGATGGTGTTGGCGTCAGCCCCGTGCTTCAATATAAGCTGCTCCAAAAACAGAAACGTGCGCTTGTGCTCTGCCTTCTGCCGCAGTTGCACCACCGCCACCCACTGGTCGGGATTGGCAGCTGACCGCGTGCACGCGTCACACATGTGATCCTCCACCACGTACTCCGTCACGAACGTCTGCTGCAGCACAGCGCCACTGAGAACTTCCTTCTGTATTGTCACCTGAAAGAATAACAGATGGGTTCAGGGGATGGGAGTGGCAGCTGACCGCGTGTGCTCGCGTCACACATGTGGTCCTCCACCACGTACTCCGTCACGAACGTCGGCTGCAGCACCGCGCCAGATAGCACCTCCTTATGTATCGTCACCTGGGAAAAGCACAGGGTTCACATGATAGTAGAATTCAGGCTCAGGGCTTGGAAGCAGCAGCAGCTGCTGCTGCTGCTGACCGCGTGCACGCATCACACATGTGATCCTCCACCACATCCTCTGTCTGTGGGGACAGAGTATATGGCATGGCATACATGCGTCACAAACGTCTATTGAAGAACCGAACCACTGAGGACCTCTTTCTGTAGTGTCACCTGGTAACAAGAAGGGCTGGGTTTAAGGTACATGAGGGTATTGAAAGTTAGGGTCGACCGCGTGCACGCATCACATCACACATGTGATCCTCCACCACACACTCCGTCACAGACGTCTATTGAAGAACCGAACCACTGAGGACCTCTTTCTGTAGTGTCACCTGGGAGGGAGGCAAAGGATCAAAGCCCTTCATTTTGATTCGCTTAGAGTGCGGCTCAGTCCAGATGAGCAAACCAGCTTTTGAGGTGCCTCGAAAGCAACAGTCGAGACTAGAGCCACGTGAAAAAAGGAGTGTTTTGAGACGTCACAAAACAGTCGAGACTAGAGATTCAACAGGCGAAAGTCGTACCTTGATTTTGATTCTCTTGGAATGCGGCTCGGTCCAGATAAAGGAGGCGTCCACCAGCTTCACCTTGTTGAGATTCTTCATGCGCTGTTGTTGTAGCAGGGTAACATGGTAACACACACACACACGGTACGCAGTCAGGGGGGGGAAAGGGAGGGAGAGAATGGGCTCGGTCCAGATGAAAGAGGCGTCCACCAGCTTCACCTTGTTCAGGTTCTTCATGCGCTGTTGTTGCAGCCGGGTTACCGGGTGACATAGTAACACACACACACAGTACGCAGTCAGGGGGGGGGGGGGGAGGGAGAGAATGGGCTCGGTCCAGATGAAAGAGGCGTCCACCAGCTTCACCTTGTTCAGGTTCTTCATGCGATGTTGTTGCAGCCGGGTTACCGGGTGACATAGTAACACACACACACAGTACGCAGTAAGGGGGGGGGGGGGGGAGGGAGAGAATGGGCTCGGTCCAGATGAAAGAGGCGTCCACCAGCTTCACCTTGTTCAGGTTCTTCATGCGCTGTTACAGTAACACACACGGTAACACGGTAACACATGCACATGCGTGCAGTGGGAGGGAGGGAGCAAGGGAACAAAGGGGCTTTGCAAGGCTGTTTCGGGCAAGTGGACGTGTCCACCAGATTCGCCTTGCTAACATACTTCATGCGCTATTACAACAATAACGTCAGTAGAACCTTGGTTCGTTCAGAAAGGGCAACGCAGGGTTTTGAAGGGGTTTCGGCAGGTAAACACGTTTAGGGAATTCGACTGCCCTTGCATAGCCCCGTGCGCGTGCGGCACGCGGAAGTGGATACGCGATTGGGCGACAATGCGCCAAGAACAAATCAGGGTTTAACATCGGGGTTTAATCCGAAGACAGTAAGAACAGGGGAAACGCAATAACGGCGAAAGGGCTGAGTGCAGGAGTGCAAGGAAGCTCGCTTGTATGAGCAACTCATCGCGTTGGCGAATCCATTGACGACCAACGCGGATGCACATCCATCTGCGGGGAGAGCTCTTGAACAAATCCATCCACATCCATGCGAAAAGCGAATTCACGAGCGCAACCACGAAACGGCGCGCCACGAGAAAGCGAAGCCTCCTGTGGGACGGCAGGACGCAGATTTGCCGGTGGGTATCCTTAGTAAGTAGTAAGCAGGGCACACACCTTGAGGCAGAACGTGAGGAGTTCCTTCGACTCAAGCTCCGCGCGGATCCACGCGCGCGGCGGCGCGAGGAACCTTCCGCACGGCGGCGGGCAGCGCAGCACCGAGAGGCGGCGCGGAAGGCCTTCGGTGATGTCGACGTGCGTGCGAATGCAGCCGGGGCACATGCCGGTCGGGTTGGGCGGCATGGCCGTGCCGCACAGGCAGCACAGCACGGTGGACGGCGTTTGCTGGACTGTAAACATGCCGGCCGGCGCGGAAACGTCCGGCTCCATTGACACCATCAGAACCGCGCTACGGACACGTAAGGTCTAGGATAGCTTTCCTCTATAGATTGCGCGTCTGGTGAATACGCGAGGAGTTATGAGACGAGAAGCACAGCCGTTGGGTCTTCAAGTCAACAGACTGTCTAGAAACTAGGAATCGCTGCCTCTAGTCTCTCTAGACCTTACTGTCGAGATTCCAGCTGGTACCCACTGGGGGTTGTGCGGGAGGGCATGGATGAAGCAACCAAAAACCCTTCAAGGTATTGCGTGCAAGGATTCCAGTCTACGTATTTCTCGCCGTACGACGACTCGTTAAAATATACTGAGGCTACGAGATGTACTGCTATAAATATGCTTCGTTTATGATCACGAGCTTGCTTAATCGCTTTTCGGAAGTTATCGCTACGAATGTTCCTCTATCAGTGTGACTGTAAGCATTTGCAATTGGGTGGTGCTTGATTGCAAGCCGCGTTTAGAGAAGTGCAAGTGTATAACAAAACAAGTCGTTATCTTGGAAGGGTAGCATGCACATTGCAGTACTGCCAATAGCTTGCCAACCAAATATCCAAGGCCCGTACGAGTCGCGAGTGATTCTGTAATTGGCCCTCGTTATAGAGGCGTCAACAAAAAATCATTCCTAGGCAAGCTGTCGCATGTTGCCTCTGGCGACTCGGCGACTTTGTTCTCCAGCTTGCGACATGGCGAGCCAGTCCTACTCAAGATTGCAGCAAAGATGTTGCCATGGGACTGTTCGTATTCTGTCGCATCGCATCGCTCAAGCAAGGACAGCCGAGGTTTGGCAGTTTGCTTGACGTGGCGGTGGGTGTACGGCAGTTGCCATTTTGCTGGGGTGGGCCTGGGATTCAAAGGCCAAGGGAGTGCCGTGTGATCTGAACTGTCGAGAAAACCAATCTAACGGTTTACAATTGCTGTAACCATCAGCTACAAGACATATCAGCAGTCCATTTGTACAACTACAGTTCATCGGAGAACATTGCACGCGGCGCGTGCATCTTGTTCCTCCCTATCCCTCCCTGCACCCAGCAAATAAAGCACCCCATTTGATTATCGGCCATAATCTCCGATACTCAGATTTTTACTGAGCGCGTTCTCAGGTGTAATCAACCTGCACTTTTTCAGTGTTGATTGGTTATCGATTTATAGTCATATTTCTCACGCTGGTCGAACTCATTAGGAAGTGACAAAAACAGAACCATCCAGTTTACCCTCCCGACTTGGATATAAGTACGAAAATTTAGGTAGTAAGTGAATGAAGCCCATATAATTCACTTGGTAGTGCTCGGTAGCGCAACCGACCGCTAAACAACGCTACCGAAAGCACTCGACGACGCTACCGAGAACTATTCGGGCATGGCAGAAAACAATAAAACCCCTAGGGAACCTGGATGCATTTTCGAGAGAGGTTAACCCTAAATACGGGAATGGGCATTGTTTTTAGGGCTGATGCCTCCCGAGTCGCATTCCTTTCCGATTGGGTTTTATTTTTTTTGTCAAGTGGGTTGCAATATGTTTTCCAAAATATTGGGCGGCTTTCGGTATTTAGGGTTGATCCTTCCCAGAAATCATCTAGGTTCGCTACGGGTTTTATATTTTTTGCAAGCACTGGAATCATTTCTATTGAGTGACTGTATACAAACATGCAAGGCTTCCCACTATATCGAGAAACCGTGATTCTGTTGGTGATTACACCTGAGAACGCGCTCAGGCAAAATCTGAGTATCGGAGATAATGGCCGTTTGATTATCGCAGCACAGCAGCAGCACATGAGTGAGATATGTGAAGCACAGGGTGAGCAGAGTAATCCATGAAATTGAGAAGGAAAACTCTTCGACACTTACTCCTTCCCTTCCATTTGTACTCCCTGCTCGCCCCATACTTTTGTTTCGTCGCTCGATAACGTAGACAACAGTCGCGCTCACTCTTCCTGGTTCATCTATCTGCTGCTAGATAATCGTGCAATCGTCGTCACCATGTCGACTGACGATCCTTTTCGACCATTACCGCGTCTCCCGGACGACATCCTCCGCATGATCTTTGGTCGCATAGGATCGCACGGCGACACCTTCTCCCACGCGGTTACTTGTAAGCGATGGCTCGAAATCGCGCGTCCCGCTCAAACCGCCCTCTGCATTCGCGAAACCCGCGAAGCGTCCTCCCGAGAGCTCGCGAACGCCATCGCGCAGTTTCGCAACCTTTCGCGCGTTCATCTCCCCAACTGCAGCGTCGACAGAGTGGACGACGATCTCCTCGACGGAATCGCCGCGTCATGCGGAGCGACTCTCATTTCTTTCCGCTTCGGAACGGTGCGTCCCTTAACAATGCAAGGCGCCTTCAACCGCCGCCATGTGTACGACACTCAGGCAGCACCGCGTGAGCGTGTCGTGCAAGAAGGACAAGAACTCCCAGGACGGCTAGAAGCGGGAGAAGCGGCGGGAGAAGCGGAAGAGTCGACGACAGAAGCAGCTACCTACTCCGAAATCACCGAAGGGGGTTTGGATAGACTTTTTCGGGCCTGCCCGCAGTTAGAAGAATTCGGTCTGCACTGCGCGCCGAATCTCTCCCTTCGACCAGCGTCATTTCTCGAGCTCGCGCGGATCAGCGGGGGACCGTTGGATGCCGATTCGGTTTACAAATGGAGCATTCCGAACGACGCCAGCGCGCCGCCGAGCCTCCAGTTTCCAAAGCTGCTGGCTCCGAGCCTGACCGCGCTGCCAGATAGCCTGGGGGAGCTGACGAACCTGCGCGATCTTCAGATTGGCTGCAGCGCGTTGCGATTGCTGCCCGAGACTCTCGGGCAGCTTTCACGGCTGACGCGGCTGCACGTGACTGACTGCGGGCTTGCGCAGCTGCCCGATTCTTTGTGCAACCTGCCCGCGCTCTCCTCTCTCTCCATCACTTACTGCATACGAATCAGCCGGCTGCCCGCGAATCTCGGGCAGCTTTCATTCTTACGGTCCCTGCAGCTGCACAGCGTGTTTAGTCTAGAGACGTTGCCCGAATCTCTCGGGCAGCTGCCGAATCTTGAAGCGTTGCGACTCCATGGATGCAAACGGCTAACTGAGTTACCCTCCTCGGTCTATCAACTAACGCGGCTCCAGCTGCTGAGTATTAGAGACTGCCCGCGAATTGTCAGCCTCCCTGATGATATGGGTTTCCTTAGCCGGCTCGAGTCGCTGGAGATTAACACGTGCGAGTCACTGATTGGCCTCCCGCCCTCGTTTATCCACCTCATCAGCCTCCAGTCTCTTGAGGTTTGCTTCTGCAAGAGTTTCGCTTCAATTCCCGCGGATTTCGGGCAGCTGCCGAGCCTCCGCACCCTCAAGATCTCCTCCATTTCCTGTCTAGCCCACCTGCCCGAATCCATGGGACAGCTGTCTTCTCTGAAACACCTGGAGCTGTCCCATTGGCCGCTTCTCCGCGCTCTGCCTTTCGCCCTGTTCGCGCTGAAGTCACTCGAATGCCTGGCGGTCACCAGCTGCCGTCATCTCTCATCCCTTCCTGTGGGCATCACACAGCTGATGTCACTGAAGCTGCTGAATTTGTCTGGTTCTGCTGCTCTTTCCGCACTGCCAGAGTTCCTCTGCCGGCTCAGCAGCCTGGAGCAGATCCTCTTGACTGATTGCTTTCGTTTGGTGCGGCTGCCCGAGAATCTCGGGCAGCTGATGAATCTTCGACTGCTAGACCTGGATGGATGCGACAGCTTGCAGCGTCTGCCCGACTCGCTTTTGTCCATAGATGGACTGCAGATAAGAGCTAGACTGGTGTTACGAAGAATGGTCGCAACAAAAGCTGGTGTCGGGTTGGATTGTGATACGTACAGTAAAGGAGGAGCCTCTGAGTTAGAAGATCATGACAACCTAGAGACTTTGCAGGATATACACGAGTCGCACCAGAGGACAGGTGGAGACGTGCCATTGGTGGAAAGGGGAGTGGGGTTGGAATCAGAAGGTGAAAAGAGAGTAGGGGAGGAGGGTTGGAATGGTGAGGATGAGTGGGATGGTGACTGGGAGTGGTTGCAGGAGGAGAGGGCTCGGAGGGAGTGGCATGTGCGGTCACAGCGCTGGTGTGTTTTGGGCCTATCACCCTTGAAGGTGGCAAAAAGAATGCTCCTCGTTCAGCCCAAAAAGCTGTGCAGTGTTCCTTTGTGCGCAGGCCAGACAAGGCCTGCACAATAATACTGCAAGGGATCTTATTGTGTCATCATAAGGCCTTCACTATTAATCTTTCAGCTATGGTCAAAGGGACATAGTCGTGCACAAGGGTTGTGTGTGATCCCCTATTTGTAACCAACTGTTGTGCTAGTTCTGCAATGTGGTTTTATGTGCAATGTGGTTCTGTATGGATGGACCAATCTGTTATACAGGTCCAGACATGGTATTAAAACCCGCTGGCCAAGAACTTCAACCTTAGGAAGCTTGGTTGGAGCGAGCAACACAAGTGGCCAAGATTTTGGGTGCGAGGGCCTAACTCAACCAAGGTTAGGAAGGTTGAGGCAATTTGGGCCTTCTTGGGACTAGAAACAAACAAATACCAGTTTGGCGAGTCTACACTGACTTTAACTTTGGCACTATCTTAGGGTTGGAACTTGTAACACGTATCTCTCGCGAAATCAGACGCTTCGTAAATGCCTACTCGCTTCGCAAGTTCGTTAGCCCGTGGAAGGCGCCGTCTCAGACTTGGTGGCTGCCGTGTCGATCGCAGCGGCAACATCACGAATCACGTCCGTTTTGACGGTAGCACGTTACTGTGTCTAGCATCCATTCTGCCAAAACGAAGCTGGTGAGTAGGTTTGGTTTACCGGACCAGCAGGGGCCAGGTCAACCAATAGCGACGCGTGGTAGGTGGTGAGAAGCAAGCCTTGGCAAAAGTCCCAACCAGGCCAGCCTCTGGGCACGTCAACAATGTGCCCGAGAAATGCATTTCTGGCACCGATCCCGTATCGCACCACGGAACGGCTCCCGAGGAAAGTGTACGGCAAAAATAAAACGGTTTTTTCCGACAAGATGTTTCACATAGTTTCACTGGTTCTGCCCGCGCTGTTTTTCAAGCCGACGAATCAAGACTCCTCTGCATTCCTTGAACTTGGTTCCTCGAGATTCCAGCCAGGTCGTCAGGTCATCCTCACCCTTGAATTGTAACTACTCCAACAGAACTAGTCAGTTTTGACGGTGTAGATTTGCGCTATCGCCATATTGTTAGCGTTTCGATAATTGAGCGGCGCGTCGATGTTGGATCTCTCGAAGAGCTGCAAAAATCGAGGGCAGACGTTCAACCCGTCCCCCCTAATGGAGAGCTTGTCCGAGAGATTCCACCTAGGAGAAAGCTTTCTGAGGGATAGGGGCATTATTGTTTGAAGGCAGAACATGTCCACCTACCGTCTCGAGAGTTTTCCTTATCAGCTCCTTACGAGCTCTACTAATCTACTATCATTTGCCTTCCTTGCCAGTTATGCATGAGAAAAAAATAGGATTCAAGGAACTCGTCGCTCCTGAACCTCGCAAAGGGAGAAGATTGTTTTGTTAGCCTCAGACCTAATACTTGTTTCTTGATTCTCGAGGCGCTATTCTTTCTCTATTCTAAAGAGGTGCCCGGTAGGAGTGATGGGTAGGTTAAACGGACACGGGTATCACTCGATCGGTCTAGAAACTCGCAGTTCCATTGCGGACTCTGTGTCGCACGCATCTCAGCTCAATTCGCGAACGTCGCATGCACTACCCGTGCCCTCGCCAGCGTCGTCAGCGACATCCCTGTCGCGCGTCTCTCATGTATTTTCGCACATGTTGACAGCTCTCGGAATTAAACCGGGAGGGTCTACAAACGAGGAGAGGAGCCATCGATCGGTCTATTCTATGGATTGGTTTCATTACGTGCTCGTTTCCGTCAATCTGTGCCTCCTCGTACTCGTTATAGCCGAATCGTTACCGCCATGGGTCACCAATTCCGATGCGGGAGCGAGCGGAAGGCTACGCGGCGAATGGAGCCCTCTTTTTCCCATGCAGCTGCGAAAGTCGCTGCTCGTCGCCCACGCTTCAGACGAAACTGGAGATACCGCCGTGAGCCCATTCAAGTACGTGCTTAGCAGCTACGCGTGTAAGACTCAACCCAGCCTTCAGGTTCCCTGTTTTTTTTTCTTCTTCTTTCCTTTTTTCGGATCGTCCGTCTTACTCGTGTGATTTGGCTGCTCGAGGTGCCTTGTCAAGCTGATTGAAGACGATAGTCCCTGAGTCTCTGCTCCGTACTCTTTCTTCTTGTTCACTCATCCTCATGCTCCCCTCCCTTGCCCCCGATCTCCACGCGCGCAACCTCCCCGCACTTTTCCCCCAACCTCCCCTCAACCTCCTCGCAGTGACCCCGTGCTCCAAAGCAGTGCACTTGCAACGATTGACGATACCGCCACTAGCGTTGCTTCCGGCGTTTCCGATGGCAGCGTGGCACCGCGGCTGAGGCGACGACGAGTATGCTGGACGTCGTCAGGAGGTAAGATTTTGAATAGCATGGAAAATATGAGCTGCGTATTTTCCAGGCGCCCCATAAAGAGGTAAGGTCTAATAGCATGGGAACGATGAGTTGTGAGACGTTTAAAAAAAAAAGGTCTTAAACGAACGACGACGATGCTGGACGTCATGTGCGATCATCCCCTTCCGCTTTACGCGTATCGCATACGAGATAGGTGTGCGGCCGACGTTCAGTGCAGCGACGCTAAATTCACTTTCTCGGAAAAAAAATAGGCGCCAAGAAAAATGCTCTCATGCAACCCGCCTTCCCCCTCCCTTGCTTCTCATCTGCTTATTTTTTCGCAGACTATTCCTCACCTTCACCCTCGGGAGTGGTGATACACGGCTCAGGTTGCGCCACGTGTCTGCGCGGGCAGCGCTGCTCCTTCCGCGTGTCCGTGCGCGCGCCCGCGCGATGGGCGCACGTGCTGGAGGCGGACAAGGAGAGCTGGTGGAAGCGCGACTTAGCTCTGACTTTAAGAGGCATCGCGCTAGCTCACGGGGACATTAGGTGTCTAGACCCTCCGCACTGCACGGAATTTAGAGTGTCGTACCGCGTCTGGGACCTCGGCAATTACTGGTGAGCCTAATTTCGAAGCGCCAAGAAGTGAAGTAGTTAATCCACTCCTCAGCAATCTTCTCAGCTGTTGTTGTTTCCTCTGCGCCCCTCAAATCTCTCACAACCCCTTAGCCCCTCGTGTAGATTCCCAACATCCGTTTTGCACCCACCGCCTTCCTCCCTCGCTTGCGTCTCTTTTTGTCGCCCCCATTCTTTCCCCCTTTACTTCCCCCTGCTTCCCCCATGCGTCCCCCATATTTCCCCAATCCTCCTCCTCCCCAGGGCGACGCTCCACGTGGGGTGCGCCAATCTCGACTTCTCTGCCTCCTTTGAGCACGCACCAGCACAGCAGCCTCCCTTGCTTCCCCCACTTCCCCTACCTCCCCCCCATCCCGCAGGGCAACGTTGCACGTGGGGTGCGCCAATCTCAACTTTTCCGCCTCCTTTGGACATCATTTCAACCGCACGCACCAGCACAGCCTTGCCTCCTGGCCAATCACAATCACGCCACGAGGCGAAGCGCTGCCCAGAACCACCACAACCGCCGCGTACCCAGAAGCAACAGGCGGGGAAAGTGGGGGGACGGATGCGGGGGAGGGGGAGGGGTTGGGGGAGAGGGAGGAGGAGCATGAGGGGGTGCAGGATTGGCCGGACACTCCGTGCAATGGGACGTCTGTGCCGGGAAGATGGGTGGTGAAGGCGAATGGGTCACTCAGGTATGTGTAAATGGGTGAGGCTGGGTGCAGATGGGTGCAGATGGGCGTAGATGGGTGCAGATGGGTGAAGCGTGTGTATGTGTGGGGTGCAGGATTGGCTGGACACTCTATGCAATGGGACGTCACTCAGGTGTGTGTGTGAGTGCGGGGCGATGGGTGGTGAAGGCAGATAGGTCACTCAGGTATGTATAAATGGGTGAGGCTGGGTGCAGATGGGTGAGGATGGGTTCAGATGGGTGAGGATGGTTGCATATGGGTGCGTGTATCAGGAGGGCTTTCTACCAGTAAACGGTCCCTGCGGCTCCCCATTCCAGCTGAACAGAAGTTCTCAACGAGAGGGGCATTCGGGAGATCTGCATTGTGGGGGACAGTCACCAGCACTTTCCCCCTCCCCCTCCCCATGCCCATCCCCCTCCCAATGCCCCTCCCCCTCCCCACGCCCCTCCCCCTCTCCATGCCCCTCCCCCTCTCCATGCCCTTCCCCCTCCCCATGCCCCTCCCCCTCCCCATGCCCCTCCCCCTCCCCCACTCGCCCGCTCCCATAGGTGGGCTTTCTACCGCTGCACAGCCCCGGAGGTTCCCCCATCCGAGTGGATTGCCGCGTTGCACGAGAGGGGCATTCGGGAGATCAGCATAGTGGGGGACAGCCACCAGCGGTTTCTAGCTGCGCACCTGCACTTCCTGCTCACGGCTCAGGCGGACAAGGATGTGAAGCGGTGGCAGGATAATCTGGTGTTTGATGCGCGTGATAGCAGCAACCGCACTCTCAGAATCAACTTTTACTGGATCGATGGGATCTACAAAAACGGAGAATTCGGATGCACGTGAGTGATTGAATGGGCTTCGAATGGGGTTAAATCGGTTTGAATGGGTTCCATAAGAAACCTTCCCTTTTCCACATTCCTTAGTCCCCGCCTCTCCCCTTCCTTCCCCGTGGTCCCCCTGTTCTTCCCAAGAATCTAGGCATCACCACCCATTGGCCCTTTGTCACCCCCAACCCCCTCCCCTCCCCTCCCCTCCACTTTATCTTTATCCCACACCCCAATCCCCTCCAACACTCCTCCAGCCATCGGGGTGTCACAACCAACGGATTTCAGCAATTCCCCTCCTGCTCCGCCAACCCTCCTATTCCACCCTCAACTTTCTCCTCCAAACCCCCCTCCATTCCTTCCTCCAATCCCCCCTCCAATCCCCCCTCCAATCCCCCCAGCCATCGGGGAGTCACCACCAACCGATCGGAGGAATTCCCTGAGATCTCCCCCACGGCTGACGTCACGCTGTTTGAAGGAGGCTACTGGGCAGCTTCCTTCTGCCGCCAGCCCCTCAAGGCGCTCCGAGTGCACCTCGAGGAGTTTGCCCGCTGGGCGCTTGCCGCCGCGCCCGCTAAAGGCCGGGTTATTTTCCGAACTATCCCATCTTTTCCGGTGGCGGGGGACCGGTGTAACGCGTGGTATCCCGGGCCGAGTTCGAACCGGGTGGTTATGGCGATTAATGTTTTGCTGAAGCAGATAGTGCAGGGGAGAGGCGTGGAGGGAGAACAGAGAGGAGTGGGGGAGGCGGGGAATGTTGTTGAGAGATTAGGGGCATGGTGGCGAGGAGGGATACGAGGTCGAGATGTTGGCGGGGAAGGAAGGAGAAGTGGAGGAGGGATAGAAAAGCTGGTGTATCTTGATTCGAGCCTGCAGGTGCTACCGCGGGACTCTGAAGAAGAGGGGGAAAACGCGGAGAGAGCAGGAGCAGATAGCAACGGAGAAGCAGAGAGCAACGGAGCAGCGGAGAGCAACGGAGCAGCGGAGAGCAAAGGAGCTGCGACGGATATTGAAGAGGCGGACGAGATTGCTGCAGCTGGTGGTGCTGACGGTGGTGCTGGTGATGGTGCTGGTGCTGGTGCTGGTGCTGGTGCTGGTGCTGGTGCTGGTGCTGGTGCTGGTGCTGGTGATGGTGCTGGTGCTGGTGCTGGTGCTGGTGCTGGTGCTGGTGCTGGTGCTGGTGCTGGTGCTGGTGCTGGTGATGGTGCTGGTGATGGTGTTAGTGGTGGTGGTAAGTCCTACTCAGAAAAGCGGCCACCACCACCATCACCACGAGCAGCCGCAGAAGCGCCATCTGCTGAGCTGGCAGCATTGCCTGCAGGGGCAGCAACAGTGCTGGACACGTGGCAGGTGGACGCACCTCGGTATGCGGACACAGCAGTGCCCAACGACCATCATTACTCCATGGTGCAACCCACAGACGGAGGCACAGTTGTGGTCGGGGAGGTGGGGGAGGCTCAAGTGCGCGCCTTCATTCACTACTTGCTGCACCTGCTGCCCCCTGTTCATGCTAGTGCACTCTAGCTGCTTGCCTCGTGGAGGGAGGGAGAGACGGAGAAGGAGGGAGACGAAGGGGGGAGGGAGGGAAGGAGGAAGCGAGGGAGGAAGGGAGAGATGGAGGGAGGGAGGGAGGGAGGGAGGGAGGGAGAGACGGAGAAAGGGAGAGGTGGAAGGAGGGGGAGAGACGGAGAAAGGGAGAGATGGAAGGAGGGAGGGAGGGAGAGACGGAGAAAGGGAGAGATGGAAGGAGGGAGGGAGGGAGAGACGGAGAAAAGGAGAGATGGAAGGAGGGAGGGAGGGAGGAAGGGCAGGTGGATGCCCCTCGGTATGCGCGCCTTCATTCACTACCTGCTCCATGTGCTTCCCCCACTCCATGCGAGTGCATTCTAGACGACTTTTGAGGCGCCTCAAAAGTCATGCGAGTGCATTCTAGCTCCATTCCCTGCTTGGGACATTCGAGCCTTCATCAGTGCATTCTAGCTCCATGCCCTGCTGCTCTGCACGTGTAGATAGTGAATTCTGGGGTTCAGGGTAACATGGTGCGGCCAACAGGAGAAGGCACGGTAATGGTGGGGGGGAGGTGGGGGAAGAGCAACTGCGGGAAGATTCATCACCTTGTGCACCGCTCCTTCCCTTCATGCAGAAGATGATGATGATAATCACCGCTCCTTCCGTCCATGCTAGAACACTGCTCTGCCTTTTGAGGCGCCTCAAAGGATTCATCACCTGCTGCACCTGCTGCACCTGCTCCCTCCACTCCACGCTAGAATACTGCTCTGCGCGTCCAGTTGGATTCCCTCCAACCCATTCGGTCTAAGGCTGTGCTGTGTGGTTCTGTGCGGTGTTGCGCTGCGTGCACACCTGCCACACTGCTCTTCTCATCCTCGCTCCTCCTCACCATGACCAGCACCACCACTCCTCGGTTGACGTTGGGAGTATGATACAGCAGAGTTTCAATAAACATGCAGTAACCTATGCTTTTGGAGGTTGTAAATGTTAGTGTATTGTGTGATTTTGACCTCGATTGAAATTTGAGGCGGCTAAAGTCCCTCGAGAGGAGAGGAGGATAGAAGAGCAGAGCAGAGCACCTGCCGCAGCGTACCTCTTCCACCATCACCACACTTGTTTTGAGGCGCCTCAAAAGGAGAACGGAGCAGAGCAGAGCAGAGCACCCGCCGCAGCGTCTCTTCCACCATCACCACACTTGCTGGGGAGGAGAGAGTGAAAGATCCCAGCAATGGACTAGTGGACAGCTAAGAGCTCGTAGGTACCCCAGCCCAGCCTACCTCCTTGCCTCGGACCTCCACCATCAGGGCTAACTTTAGTGCCAGGGCCCGTCTGACGTTAAGACCAGGTTATGGCTCCTTGTCTGATGGTCAGACGAAAGATTTAGCGAAGTCTTACGTTTCAGACGAACAAGAAGTACTGGTCTAGGCTGTCAGACGAAATTAGATAGTTAGTCTTATAGCAACACATTTCCTAGCCTATGTAGTTTCTAATCTACCAACATCCTATTCTATTCTAAGTGGATTCACTAGCATTATTGCTTTCATTGTCATCACCACTACTGCCACTATCATCATCACTACCACTGCCACTCTCAGAGGTTTCAACAATTGTGGCTCTGTTTTTGCCCTTCCTCCAGGTAGGTAGTTCCCATGCAGCTTCTTCTGCAGCCCTCTCTCTCTCCCTTGTTGCAGCCTCTTCTGCCTCTTCCCGTGCGCGTGTAGCTGCTGCTGCTGCTTCTGATGCTGCAGCGCGTTTCTTCAGCTGATGGGACCGCCGTCGCCAGGGCTCAGGTTTGCAGTGTAATTTACCCTTCTATACTGATTACAAGGGTGAAATTTTGGGTCTACACTGATGTGCTGGGGTAATTTTTTGGTGAGTTAGTGTTACACTGATCTGTAAGTGTAATGATTTAGGCCACACTGATGCTCTGGGGTAATTTTTCCCTTAGCGAAGATTACCCTGAAGAGCGTACAGGGACTCCCCCCCCCCCCCTCGGAAACTCTACTGATTGAGAAGAAGTTTCCTAGAACTTTCGTAGCGATACACCCAATTTCGTAATGATGCACTACGACGCCAGCACACGTGAGTACTGACAATCGACACCGTGTCACTCCGTGTCTGCTTGCAACCTACCCGTTACTGTAGAGGCGATGCAACCTGATTGGTCGAAGCTGCACTCTCTGCAAGAACGTCAACTTTCTTGACTCGGAAATTTGGGACTCGAGGTTTCCGAACACACTCGAAATTTGCTGACTTGGCGAAAAATACAAGTGTTGCAGCGAAACCAGACAAGCCACTGCGCTCGACTTTTGAGTTCACATCACAACTCCCACCCACCAGCGCCCAACTTACGATAGTAATCGTGCGCGATTTGGGCCTCGAGCTTGATTGCAGCCAGCACATATTGAGCAGCCTAAAGTACAATCAGGGTTAAAAATATTCCTACACTGATGCCTCTGGGTAAAGTTTTCAAAACTTCAAGTTACACTGATCCATCAGTGTTTCCAAAAAGGGCACACTGCTCAGAAGGGTTTTGAAAATGTCTACACTGCTAATCGTGAGTAGGCAAAATCCAAACCTAAGCCCTCGCCGTCGCTTCACCGGGCGTGATCCTTCAGCCATGACCACCTCACGCGCCGGCCGCCTCTTTTTGCCGCCACAAAACCTATCCACCAGCTCCTCTGTATTCAGCTCGTAGTCCAGAAGAGACACCGTCATCAGGTCGCCCAGAGTCGTGTCGCACAAGCTGCCGCGCACCCAGCTCTTAATGATGTTCTGACGGCTGAAGCCGCGCTCACACTCAACAGTGCTGAGCGGTAGCACAACAACAGCAATCCACAGGCGGCCGAGGTTCGAATAGGCAGACTCCCAATCTGGCGTTGAGAGCATCTGAGAGAGGCTGTCGTGTCCTCGTGGTGAGTGGAGAGGATTGTGGTGAAGCTGGTGAGCTCTTTGGCGGCTTTGCCCCAGTCGACACCTGATGGGGAGGGTAGGGAAGGGTGAGGGACATCGGGTATCACAGCAAAGAGTACATTAAGGCACGGCAGCAATAACATCTACATTAATGATATGCTCACCCCAAAGCAAAGTGCTTACCAGGGAGGGTGTCTGGATGGCTGGGCTTCTTCTTGAACAGGTTGCGCAGCGACTGAAGCCATTCGGGAAATCGGCGCGCTCTCTTAGCGCGCGAACGAGGGTACCGTCTCTGCCGAAACAGACGACTCCCATCCAACGACTTTAGACTCTTCATGCGATCGTCGATGTAAAACACGGTCCTCCCAGCGAACTTGGATGCCGCCTCCACGCACGACGCCAGGTCGCCCCCAAACTTCTCCTTCCCGATTAAGTCCTCGTGCAGCACGTACGAGTGAGTTACGCGTGTTCCGACGCCGTCAATGCTTTCCACCTTCACCTCGCGATTCTCGGTGCTCCCGTGGTTCTTCAGAAACGTCGCTAGACGACCACTGTTGTCGCCGAAGGTGGAGCCGTACTCCACGTAGCGACTTGTCAAGCACAGGGTGGTGTGTTGCACCATCGACCGAACCTGCGTCGCATCGAGCTGCACATTTCACACAAACAGAATTAGTCACGGCACGGAAAGCCAGGGGGAAATCAGGCAAGACATCGGGAATCACGCGTCCTTACCTGACGTCGTTGGAACTTGAGATTGAGGCTGTTCAGCTCTTGAAGCACGTCAACCAGAAAGAAAAGGAAGAACTGAAATTTCAGACTGGTAACAAGAGTGTACGTTGCCTTCTCGTACTCGTGCAGCAGGACAACGGCAGCAGGCAGCACGTCAGCAAAGCGCTCGATGGCGTCCCCGCGTGAAAGCCAACGAACGTCTTTAATCCCTTGCATTTCCAGGTTGGTCTGTGTAATCACTTCCTGCATATTCTTGAATCGCGCATGCTGCACGATGCTGCGGCCGAGAATGTCCGCGAAGGCCCGGACGACTTTGTCGACGACGTTAAACTCGGGGAACTCTTCAGCAGCATCTTTAGCAGCCAGAGCCTCCCTGCAGTCGTAACAAGAGTAGGATTAGTGGGCGAGTTACACAACACAAAAATAAACACAACGACAAACTACCTGTGGGCAACGCAATGGCAAGGCACTATGTGCGGCACCCGTGTTCGTAATCGCGCCACCAGACCTGTCTGCCCGCCCGTCATAACGCTCGCGCCGTCCGTGGTCATGCCGCCGATCCTCTGCATTTCGAGGCCGCAAGCAGCAAAGTGTGTCAGCAGGACGGCCTCCAGCGACCCGGCGTCGCACTTCTCAACGGACAAGTTGGCGAAGAACTCGGTAACCACCACCGTGCCACGGAGAAACGTGGCATACACAATCATGTGTTTGCCACGCATACGGTCGGTGCTTTCGTCAAGTTGAAGGCCAACGTAGGGACTGAGGCTGATGTGCTGCATCTGGAGGGGCCTCCGTGCGAGGGTCTACAACCATCTTGGTGGAACTACAAATTGACTAACTCTGGCTCACGAGGGTAAGATGAAGGACACCTGACGCAGAGGGGAGTGAGGGGGGACCGTCCGAACCGTGCCGCATGCAGGAACGTCTCGTTCGCTGCTGGAAGCAGCCATGCCATCAATCCCTTGCTGACTCGGTGTTGGTGTTGCAACTGCAGCCTTCTGCCGTGCGCTGGCACGAATATGCCAAACGAACTGGCAAGATTCGTGCCAGCGGGGTGACTGCGGCGCATTTGACGTGCGGTGTTGTCACGACCAAAGGCAATGTACAGCCTGGCGGTGGCAGCACGGTAACGCGGCGGGTGGCAAGTCTCGTCCGTAACATTGGGCATCAAGCCATGTGGCCAACTAGCCAGGTGGGCAACTGGCCAGGTGGGGGGATTTGTCTGTTCCAGACGAGAAAAAACTCGTTGTCTGCAGTCTCAGACGAACTGTATAAGGTTGTCTGAGAAATCAGACGAATTTGAAAACACTGTCCTAAACCATCAGACGAAATTACGGTAAACAGGCCGTCTACGACATCAGATGAAGTAGTAAAAAAATGTTCAAAATCCAGAAAATCAGACCTAAAATTTCTGATAAAGTAAGCCCTGTCCACCATCCCCACCCACACCTGCTGCTGGGTATTCCAGCATGCATTATTGGTATTTGTTGACTTTGATTTGAGGCACCTCAGAAATATCCCATCATGACATCCTGGCGGTCGTTAAGGACTGCTGTGTCGGCTTGGCACTCCGAGGGGCGTATGGACAGAGGAGAAGGGCGGCGGGCGGCTATATAGCTCTTGGGTGGAGTGGGGGCAGCTATATAGCTCATGGGTGGAGTGGGGGCAGCTATATAGCTCATGGGTGGAGTGGGGGGAGCCCATGAAGCAGGTAGTGAATGAAGGCCCGTACCTGCACCTCTCCCACGTCCCCCGTCACCACTGCACCTTGGTCTGTGAGCTTCACCACCGAGTAATGGTGGTCGTTGGGCACTGCTGTGTCGGCATACCGAGGCCCGTCCACCTGGGTTTCTCCCACTTGCCCCTCCTTCTGCTGTGAACCGCACCTTGGACCTGGAGTGAGGGTGGTCGTTGGTTGAGGAGAGCAGAGCCTATTGAGGCGCCTCAAAACCCGTCCACCTGGGTTTCCCCCACTTGCCCCTCCTTCTGCTGTGAACCGCACCCTGGACCTGGAGTGTCGGTGGTCGTTGGTTGAGGAGAGCAGAGCCTATTGAGGCGCCTCAAAATCCGTCCACCTGGGCTGGGCTTCCCCCCCTTGCCCGTCCTTCTGCTGTGTGCCGCTCCCTGGCGTAACGGTGGCTGTTGGTTGAGTAGGGCAAGGCAGAGCAGCGCGGAGCAGGGCAGGCAAACAGCTATAGAGCACTGCCACGGAGTGGGGGCAGCAGGTGAAGCAGGTAATGAATGAAGACCCGCACTTGCGCCTCTCCCACATCCCCCGTCACCACTGCACCTTGGTTTGTGAGCTTCACCACGGAGTAATGGTGGTCGTTGGGCACTGCTGTGTCGGCATACCGAGGCCCGTCCACCTGCCACGTGTCCAGCACTATTGCTGCCCCTGCTGGTAACGCTGCTAGCTCAGCGGATTCGGCTGATGATGATGGTGGTGGTGGTGATGGTGATGGTGATGGTGTTGGTGATGCTCTTTCTGCGTTTCCTCCCTCCTCCTCAGAGTCTTCGGGTAAGACCTGCAAGCTAGAATCAAGATAGACCAGCTTCTCTATCCCTCCTTGCACTATCTGCTTCAACAGTGCATTGATCGCCATAACCACCCGGTTCGAACGTGGCCCGGGATAGCACGACTGGCACCACTCCCCAGCCACCGGAAAAGACGGGATAGTTCGGAAAATAACCCGGCCTTTAGCGGGCGCGGCGGTAAGCGCCCAGCGGGCAAACTCCTTGAGGTGCACTCGGAGCGCCTTGAGGGGCTGGCGGCAGAAGGAAGCTGCCCAGTAGCCTCCTTCAAACAGCGTGACGTCAGCTGTGGGGGAGATCTCGGGAAATTTCTCCGATCGGTTGGTGGTCTGGCCCCGATGGCTGGAGGGGAGGGGGAGGAAGAGAGAGAGGGGGTTCGGGGAAGAGAGGGGGGAAGAGGTGAGGGGGACAAAGGACTTTTGAGGCACCTCAAAAGTAGTGGGGGAGAAGAGACTTGAGGGAATTCCTCTGATCGGTCGGTGGTCCGGCCCCGATGGCTGGAGGGGTGGGGGAGGGGGTTTGGGGGGTTGGAATGCGGTGGAGGAGAGGAGAGAGGGGTTGGCGGGGAGGGTGCAGGAGATGAGGCAAATCTGTGGTGATGCCTAGACTTTAGGGGGAGAAGGGGGTAGGGGCGTGGGAAGGAAGGGGGGAGGCGGGGACTATGGAACGTGGGGAATGGAAGATTTTTCTAGGAGCCCATTCAAACCCGTTCGAACCTATTCTATTCATGCCTTGGAAGAAACTCACGTGCAGCTGAATTCGCCACTCGTACAAATCCCATGAATCCAGTAAAGGGCCTCATCGTGCTATATCGAAATGATATCAGCGTGGAGAATGGAGGATTTTTCCAGGAAAATTCTCAAAAATGATCTCAACAAATCCCATTAATCCAGTACAGGGTCTCAGCGCGCGGTTGCTGCATGCTGCCATGTATAGGGTCTCATCAATCCACTCGCATGAAACGTACGTGTGAGCAGCAAAGTGCAGCCACTGGCGTGTAAAAGTTGATCCTGAGGGCGTGCGGTTGCTGCTGCTGTCATCATGCGCGACCAACACCAGGTTGTCTTGCCAATGGATCACTCTGCCTTCCGCCTGTGCCGTGAGCAGGAAGGCCAGGTGTGCGCCCACCGAGGGACTACCTCTGACTGTTCTAGCCCGTTCAAACCCATTCAAACCCATTCAAACCCCATTCGAAGCCAGTTCAAAGCCCATTCGAAGCCCATTCAATCACTCACGTGCAGCCGAATTCTCCATTTTTGTAGATCCCATCAATCCAGTAAAAGTTGATCCTGAGCGTGCGGTTGCTGCTGCTGTCATCTCGCGCGACCAACACCAGGTCGTCTTGCCAATGGATCACTCTGCCTTCCGCCTTTGCCGTGAGCAGGAAGGCCAGGTGTGCCGCTAGAAACCGCTGGTGGTTGTCCCCCACGATGCTGATCTCCCGAATGCCCCTCTCGTGTAGCGCGCCTATCCACTCGGATGGGGGGATTTCGCAGGGGGTGCATGGGTAGAAAGCCCAACTGGAGGAGTGGGGGTGGGTGGGGGAGGGGATTTTTGAGGATTCTCAGAAACCAGTGGGTGCATGGGTAGAAAGCCCAGCTGGAGGGGAAGGGGGGATGGTGGGAAGGGGGGATGGGGGGAGTGTGTGCGGTGAGCAGGAAGGCCAGGTGCGCTGCTAGGAAGCGCCTGTCCAATCCCATGGGGGGATTTCACGGGGGGTGATGAGTCGATTTTTGAATCAAGGTGACTTTTGAGTCGACTAAAAAATTGACTCATCACTGCTAGGAAGCGCCTGTCCACTCCCATTGGGGGATTTCACGGGGGGGGGGGGGGGGGGGGGGGGTTTGCATGGGTAGAACACCCACCTGAGGGAGATGGAGGGGAGTGGGGGGAGCGGGGGTGCAGAGGCCAGGTTTGGAGCGGGAGCAGGGAGGCGGAACGGGGGGAAGGTCCGCCTGGGCGGTGAGCAGCAAGAGAAGGTGCGCAGACAGAAGCACGCGCCTATCCAGTGAGCCGGGGGCCGGGGCAACCTTTGAGTCGACTCAAAAGTCACCTCGATGCCGCTGGTGGCTGTCTCCGCACACGGTGCTGATTTGGTGATTTTTTAGTCGACTCCCACGGTGCTGATTTGGTGACTTTTGAGTCGACTCCCACGGTGCTGATTTGGTGATTTTTTAGTCGACTCCCACGGTGCTGATTTGGTGACTTTTGAGTCGACTCCCACGGTGCTGATTTGGTGACTTTTGAGTCGACTCCCACGATGCCGATTTGGTGATTTTTTAGTCGACTCCCACGTTGCTGATTTGGTGACTTTTGAGTCGACTCCAACGGTGCTGATTTGGTGACTTTCGAGTCGACTCCCACGGTGCTGATTTCCTGGATACCCCTGCCATCTAACGCGCCTATCCAGTGAGCTGGGGGAATTTCGTGGGGGGTGCATGGGTAGAAAGCCCACCTGGGGGCGTGGGGGAGGGGGAAGGGGAATGGGAGGGTGAAGGGGAAGGGCGCTATCAACTCGGATGTGGGAATTTTCACAGGCCGTGCAGTGCACTGGTATCGGGGCAATCCTGCAGGGTGCACTGGTATGTTTTTGAGAATTCTCAATACACCCTGCAATTTCACAGGCCGTGCCGTGCACTGGTATCGGGGCAATCCTGCATTCCACACCCACCCACACGGCCACACACAGTCCATCTACACCCAAATGCACCCATCTACACCCGTTCACACCCATCCGCACCCATCTACACGCACATACTTGAGGGACCCATCTGCCTTCACCACCCACCGCCCCGGCACTGACGTTCCCGAGCAAGGATAATCCGGCCAATCCTGATCCTTCTCCTGCTCCTCCTCCTCCTCCTCCGCCTCCCAATCCCCTTCGCCCGCTCCCTCCTCCCCCCCCTCCCCCTGGCTCCCGCCTGCTGCTTTTGAATGAGTGGCGGCTGTGGTGGTGCTGCTGCAGTCACCTGTGCTGCCGCTGACACCGCCGCTGCTGCCACCGCCGCCGCCGCTGGTGGTGGTGGTGGTGGTGTTGCGAGCATTGCTGCCACCGCTGCTGCTGGTGACATTGCTGTTGTTGCTCATGCCGCGGGCGATGCTTCTGGCCAGCGCCTCGCCACGTGGCACGATTGTGATTGGCCAGGAGGCGAGGCTGTGCTGGTGCGTGCGGTTGAAGTGATGCGCGTAGGAGCGGGAGAAGTTGAGGTTGGCGCACCCCACGTGCAGCGTCGCCCTGTGGGGGGGAGGGGCAAGCGGAAAGGGGAGGGAATGGGGGAAGGAGGAGCATTGAGGGGGGGATGGAGGGCGGCATGGCTTTTGAAATGTCAAAAGTCGTCCTGCGGTGGGGAGGGGAGGGTGGAGAGGGGAGGGAATGGGAGAAGGAGGAGCATTGAGGGGGGGATGGAGGGCGGCATGGGGAAGCGAAGGTGGCGGGAGAAGTTGAGGTTGGCGCACCCCACGTGCAGCGTTGCCCTGTGGGGGTGGGAAGGGTGGGGGGGAGGGGGAAGGGGAGTGGGGGAAGCAAGGGAAGAGAGGCGAAGCGAGGGAGGGAACGGTTGAAGTGGTGAGCAAAGGAGGTGGAGAATGACTTTTGAGTCGACTCAAAAGTCACCTCAAAGCGAGGGAGGGAGCGGTTGAGGTGGTGAGCGAAGGAGGTGGAGAATTTGAGGTTGGCGCACCCCATGTGCAGCGTCACCCTATAGAGAGCCTCTCCCTGAGGGGGAGCCCAGGGGGAAGCCACGGGGAAGAACGAGGGAATATGGGGAAAGTATGGAGGGGCAAGGGGAAGGTACGGGGGACTATGGGGGAAGGATGGGGGGAAACGAGGGGAATGCGAGCTAGGAAAAGAAGGGATTGGAGCGAAGCCGATGCCAGGGATTCGCACTGTGAACAGTGATTGGGTGGAAAGAGAGAACTGTTGTAACAAACCTCAAAGACGAATCCAAAATCTTCGCAAGCAACACTATGAATCGCGAACCGATCCACTCAAACTACATGCCAACTGAAACCCTAACATCTCCATTTAAGTTTATGTAACATTCGCAAGTTCCAAGGCGCCCATGCCAAAGGCGTGTGATGAGTCTATTTTTGAGTCGACACAAAAATAGACGCCCATGCCAAAGGCAACATTGTTGGAGCTCCCACGAAACCCTCTCGTCTGGACAGAGCAACTTTGTGAGATCGCCTTCCTGCGAACTTGGGACAGGACAGCCCCCAAAAGTGCACCGCAGTGGTTCCAGCGTGGCAGCGCAAAAGATGCTCTCACGACCTCACCAACTCCTGTGTGTGCGACCGTTTCGAGACTCAACATTCCATCGGCCAATCAACAGAGACTGCACGAATCCATCCCCCTCTGCAACCGCATAGCCATCGCACGTTGGGGCGCTCATCCCAACCTGCGACGTCCACATTCGTCCCCCCGCCACCTCATCACAAACCCCAATGCCTTGCACGTGCGGAATGCACTTTTCGGTGTCCCCACTTCAATGTCCGGACACCCCAGGAAGGCGATCTGAGTAGGTGATTCCAAACCTACCCCTAAACCCTACCCACTGTTTCAAAACTGACAGATGGCAATTGTTTTCAGATCCAAAATGGGCAAAGGGGCTGGGAGGGATTCAAAGGCGGTGCCAAGGGGTTGACAGGGATATGGGCGTGGTGCGAAGAAGCCAACCGATTAGTGTAGAGAAGTAATAAACGATTGAGGCGCCTAGAAAATTGACTCACCAGAATTCGCCGAGGTCCCACACGCGGTACGACACTCTAATCTCCGTGCAGTGCGGAGAGTCTAGACACCTAATGTCCCCGTGGGCCAGCGAGGCGCCTCTTAAAGTCAGAGCTAAGTCGCGCTTCCACCAGCTCTCCCCAACCGCCCTCTTCACCGCCTGCTCCCAACGCGCGGGCGCGCGCACGGACACGCGGAAGGAGCAGTGCTGCCCGCGCAGACACGCGGCGCAACCTGAGCCGTGGATCACCACTCCCGAGGGTGGACATGAGAAGCAAGGAGGGATGAACGGGGGTTTGCATGAAAGCATTCGACTTTTTCGTAGAAAGGAGAGGAGTCATAGGAGCCTAAAGAATTTCCGAGGGAGGAGGTGATGCATCATGAGTCGTACTATGAGTAGGATAAGGGAGGGGGCAGGGGGAAATGGATGAGAGCGAGCGCTAATGAGGGGAAATGCGGAAAGAGGAAGGCGACGTGCGCCGCGGACGACGTCCCGCACACTCGTTTGTCGTTTCTCGAGGCGCCTCAAAATTTCCAATGCTAACGAGCCTTACCTAGTCTTTGAGGTGGCTCAAATTGTCAGAACATTATAGCTTATGCTTTTGTGTAGGTTATAGTGGGGTATCCCATAGGGGGGTACACCCAATTAGGGTTAGTACTTGTACCCACTTCATTCATAGTTCATTCATTCGCGTTCACTCTTTCACATGGAATCAGAGCAGGTCCCCTCCTAGGGACCGTTCCCAGGGCCCACCGAAGCACGCCCCGAGGCGCGCGTTCCTTTTTTTTTAGCGACCCTCCGTGTCGCCCCTAGCGGCCCGTTACGCCGCCCTTACCTACGCGGCCCCGCCGCCCTTACCTACGCGGCCCCGCCGCCCTTACGTCGCGGCCCCGCCGCCCTCACGTCGCGGCCCTGCCGCCTCACCTACTCGGCCCCGCCGCCCTCACATTCGGGGCCCCGCCGCTCTTACCTACGCGGCCCCGCCGCCCTTACCTACGCGGCCCCGCCGCCCTTACGTCGCGGCCCCGCCGCCCTTACGTCGCGGCCCCGCCGCCCACACGTCGCGGCCCCGCCGCCCTCACGTCGCGGCCCCGCCGCCCTCACGTCGCGGCCCCGCCGCCCTTCCGTCGCGGCCCTGCCGCCCTCACGTCGCGGCCCCGCCGCCTCACCTTCGCGGCCTCGCCGCCCTCACCTTCGTGGCCCCGCCGCTCTCACCTTCGCGGCCCCGCCGCCCTTACCTACGCGGCCCCGCCACCCTTACCTACGCGGCCCCGCCGCCCTTACCTACGCGGCCCCGCCGCCCTTACATCGCAGCCCCGCCGCCCTCACGTAGCGGCCCCGCCGCCTCACCCTCGCGGCCCCGCCGCCCTTACCTACGCGGCCCCGCCGCCCTCACCTTCGCGGCCTCGCCGCCCGTGCCTACGCGGCCCCGCCGCCTTCTCCTACGCGGCCCCGCCGCCCTCACGTCACGGCCCCGCCGCCCACACCTTCGCGGCCCCGCCGATCTCCCCTCCTACCGAGCCGCCCGAGCAGCCGCCCGCCACGCCGCCCGGTACCGGAGCAGCCGAGCCGCCCAGCAGCAGCCGCCGGGCCGCCTGGCCGCCGAGCCGCAAATCAGCCGAGCCGCCCAGCAGCAGCCGCCGAGCCGCAGTATAGCCGAGCCGCCCAGCAGCCGCCGCCGAGCCGCCGGGCCGCTGAGCCGCAGTACCGCCGAGCCGCCCCGCAGCCGAGCCGCACTACTGCCGAGCCGCCCGACCTGCCCTGTCTGGTGAGCACAGCCCCACTGCTACTGCGTGCCCTTCCCCCACTGCTTGCACTGCTAGTCTGTTGTCATGGCTACCCCTAGTGTCCTCACTTTTGACGCTGAGGGACGAGCCATTGACTTTGAGGTCTAGGTCGACGACCTGCAGCTGTTTTTACAGTGCGATAGGGCGGACGCTCTTTCTCTCTTTGACCTCACCTCTGGCGCCTCCCCTGCTCCTGCTGCTGATGCTGACCCCACTGTTCGCTCTCAGTGGGCCACCCGCGATGCTGCTGCACGTCTTGCAGTGCGTCGCCACCTGCCTATGACTGAGCGCGCGCACTTTAGTTAGTACAAGAGTGCTCAGACCTTGTACGACTCTGTAGTTGCGCGCTACTCTTCCCCTGCCACTGCTGCACTGAGCCGCCTCATGCTACCGTACCTCTTTCCTGACCTTGCTGCCTTTCCTACAGTCGCTGACCTCATCAAGCACCTCCGCACTTCTGACACCCGCTACCGCGCCGCACTTCCTGCTGAATTCTGCGCCAAGAACCCCTCCCCCATGTACATTGCTCTTTATTACATACTCACTCGCCTCCCTGACTCCCTTCGCGTAGTCAGGGACCACTTCCTCTCAGTCTGTTCCACCACCCTCACTGTCGACCTCCTCGAGAAGGCCCTCCTAGCGGCGGAGAAGAGCATAGTCGCTGTAGGAGCCTCTCGTGGTGACCCGCGCACCCCCATCTTTGAGGGGTGTTCTCCTTCCCCCCTACTGCCCTCTAATGCCTCTGCTGCTGCTGCCGACCTGCTTGGTCTTGAGTCGGTCGGCGCGGCGTCTGCCCCTAGCGGGAGACGCCGCCCTATCAAGGGCAAGGGGGGCAAGGGCGCGGGTGGAGCTGGCAGGGGCGGTGGAGGTGGCAGTGGCGATGGCGGAGGGAGTGGGGGTGGCGGTGGGAGTGGTGGTGGGGGTGGTGGTGGTGGTGGCGGCAGCGGAGGCGGCGGCGGTGGCGGCGGCGGCGGTGGGAGCGGAGGCAGCGGTGGTGGCGGAGGTGGAGGCGGCGGTGGCGGAGGAGGTGGAGCCGGTCGGGGTAGTGCCCCGCAGCGGAGCGGCAATGGTGGTGGTCAGCGCCAGCAGCAGCAGCAGCAGCAGCAGCGTTCTCGGGGCTGGCGTAGCGATCTTTGATCTTGACTTTTATGCTATCCTTGCTCCCATGTATGCTGTGACTAATACTGATGAGGGTGACTGTTACCGGTGTTTCCCGCCCGACCCGGGCATTGGTACTGCTGCGCTAGGTGCTTGTGAGGCTACTGCTCTAGGTGCCAGTGCGTCTGCACTCTCAGGTACTGGTGAGGCTGCGCTCTCAGGTACTGCGTCGGCTTCGGCCTCCCTCACCTTCACACTTGACTCAGGGGCTTCTCGCTCCTTCTTTCGAGACTGCACCACACTCACGCCGCTTGGTCGGCCGGTTTCAGTCTCCCTTGCTGGCCCCTCTAGGGGTCCTGTCCTCGCTCACTTCTCCACTGTCCTCCCGTGTCCGGCTGCCCCCTCGGGCACCCTGTCGGGCCTGTACCTCCCCTCGTTCTCGACGAACTTGGTGAGTGGTGCTGACCTGCAGGATGCGGGGGTTCACCAGTTTACTCCTGCGAGTCAGCAGGGGACCCACTGCTCGGACGCCCGCACAGGCCGACACCTAGCCACGTTTTCGCGTCGGCCCGGGTCGAGTCTCTACACCCTGACCACTGAGTCTCCTCTAGTCCCTGTGTCTGGCCAGGTAGCTGCGTCGGGCCAGGTGTTTGCTGCTGCGTCCAGGTCTGGTCCTGAGTCTGCCCCCTGCTCGTGTCGCCTCCTATCTCACGAGACTCTCTTGTGGCACCACCGTCTTGGCCACCCCTCCTTGCCTCGTCTTCGGGGCATGGCTTCCCATGTCCTTGTCTCTAGTCTCCCCCGGTCTCTCCCTCCCCTTCCTTCGGGGCCAGGACCTTCCTGTGTCCCCTGCGTCGAGGGGCGGCTCCGAGCTGCCCCTCACTCCTCCCACTTTCCCCCGACAGAGGCTCCTCTGCAGACGCTTCACATGGACGTGTGGGGCCCGGCCCGCGTCCGTGGACAGGGTCACGAGCGCTACTTCCTGCTGGTGGTTGACGACTACTCGCGTTACACCACGGTCTTCCCCTTGCGCAGAAAGGGTGATGTCACTGAGGTGTTGATCGACTGGATCCGCGCAGCTCGTCTCCAGCTCAGGAGGAGCTTCGGCTCGGACTTTCCTGTTCTGCGTCCGCACTCTGACCGAGGCGGAGAGTTCTCCTCTGGCCTTCTGCGAGCCTACTGTCGTGCACGAGGCATCCGCCAGACCTTCACGCTTCCGGACTCTTCACACCAAAATGGGATTGCAGAGCGCCGCATTGGCATGGTCATGGACGTCGCTCGTACGTCCATGATGCATGCGGCTGCCCCCCATTTTCTGTGGCCGTTTGCGGTTCAGTACGCGGCGCATTAGCTCAACCTTCACCCCAGGGTCTCCCGGCCGGAGACCTCCCCAGCTCTACTGTGGACAGGGAAGGTCGGCGATGCGTCTGCGTTCCGTGTCTGGGGATCTCGGGCGTTTGTCCGCGACTTGTCTGCGGACAAGCTGTCCCCTCGTGCTGCTCCCTGTGTCTTCCTAGGCTTCCCCCCTGACGCCCCAGGGTGGCAGTTCTACCACCCCTCCTCTCGTCGTGTTCTGTCCTCCCAGGATGTCACGTTCGACGAGTCCGTCCCCTTCTACCGCCTCTTCCCCTACCGCACTCCTTCCCTCCCCCCGCCACCGCACTTCCTTGTGTCAGGTCCCCCCCCGGTAGACCCCCTTCCCCCTCAGGGTCCTGCCCCTTCAGGTGTGTCCCAGGTAGATGCAGTTGAGCCGGTCGAGGTTGCTGGTGACTCAGGTACTGCTGGGGGTGCTGAGCCTGG